CCGCTTTCTCGGGCAAGAAGTCGAAAGCTCCAGGCTCTACTTGCTTAAACCAGCTCAAAACAGAAAGATTGCTTGGGCAAACCCTCTCGGTTGCGCGTTTCAAAGTGGACTGCTCAGGTCTGGCCACTTGTTTAAACAAGCTCACAACTCAAATTGAAGTTGTTTGAGCAGCCTCCTTTCGGCGGCCCTGAAGAAGTGGGCTGGCCGCTCCTTTCGGCGCAATTAGTGGGTGCGCTACAAAAAAACCCGCTTGCACGCCGAGAAAGTCTCCTTCACCTCGCCAGAGCCTTCCACGGTCTTCAGTAAGCCTCAGAAGGTGAGCGATAACTCGAAGGCACTGTCCCAAAGCTTGGTTGACGTTGGAAGGGGAGCAACAAATCTCAAATCTTAGCAGTTGGATTTGGATTTCAACCACTAAACCACAAGAAGATCAAAAATGGGAAGAATGTTTCCCAACAACAACCCAGGCACCCCTGGATCCCCTCATTCGAGTTTTTGATGGAAGCCCAATTTACGGGTATATGAGCACGAGGGTTTGGGAAGAAAATATCTTCCTAACCACAGGGATCCTTACATTATACACCTGAACATTGCAACTTAATGGTGTTGTTTCCCTTTCTTTATTTTGGTCTTGAACAAGCCGCATGTTTCAAATGGTTGCAACATGAATTTCTTTTCAGGAGCCCTGAACAAGGGCACTCCGAGAGCTGGGAGAATTGTCCGATCCAACCCTCAGGCTCCACGACGCCTCCAATGCCGGGCCTCGGGCCCTCCCCCCTTAGGGGCCTTTGAAACAACCCATCGGGCCTGTTTTCAGAGGTGCTTTCGCGGAACAAACCCAGAAGCTCAAGCGTACCATCCTCGTGTGTATGTATTCACTGCCAATTGCTTCCGGCCAAAGCCCACTCGATAAACCAAACATATTTTCAGTAGTGATCGATTCCCTTTCAAACCAACAAGGGAAAACCAAAAAACAACATAAACTCATTTCAGCCCATGGAGGCTTCAAATAAAGCCGCAGCTTTGGGCCTTGAGCGCCCCAGGCGCTCTCCCGGTCTTGCGCAACGAGGCTCCCGGCTGCCCAGGCCCAAGGCCGTCAGAGGCTTCGACGCCAGGGACTCCAGCTGAGGAAAGGCCAAGCTCGGCCAACGCCTCGGGCGAAGACAAGACGCCCGAGACGGGGAGACGGAGGGGTGGGCGCTGGCTTTGGAGGGGGAAGACTTCACCCCAAACCCCCCAAAACGGGCTGGCGTCGGGGAGGGGGGCCCGGGGGTGGTCGAGTATGGGGGCCCCGGGTGGGTTCCCTAAGCCGTGCGAGACGCGGAGACGCGGAGCCCTGAGGAACCCAAGAAAAACGTGTCCACAGAGCTAGCACAGAGCAGCCCCTTTGTTCAGTGGCCCTGGAAAAAAAAGGGAACCCTTTTTTGGGGAGACCATTTTCGTGGGGCAGCCACCAAAAAAAAGGGGAAAAGAGAGCCACTGAACAACTGAGGCCCAAATCCCCCGAAGCTTGCAAAACACCCAAAGCTCGGTTTGGTGCATGGGTATGGGTCAAAATGAAGCGCACCAGGAATCCGCATTTACCTCAGTTCCATAGGCTTCCCGAAACGGGTACCGATTTTTGACCCACCACATCGGTCACTCAGGCAAACCCGCTCCGAGCGGCTCATGCAGCTCCTTGCAGACTTGCCAAAAGGCTTCGGTGCCTGTGGCAGGCCAAGCATCAGGCTTGCGGGAAATGTGACTGGACTCTCCATGACCCTTAAAAAATGGCTCCATGACTCCATTCTTTTGGGGACATGACCCCATTTGCTAAGGGTTGTGGAGATTTCAGGTAGTCTCCATTTTTGGGCGCCCTTTTCCTTGCGTCCTTAAGGGATTATTATGCAATTCCTATTTGGACGTCAACCCGCAGGAACTTCAGCACCTTGAATTGCCGCACAAGGGTCGGACAAAAGCAGAAGTTCATTCTCACTTGCCCAAAGGACATGGAAATAAACGGCGATCAGCTTTTGGGGCCATGACAAAAAATGGACCAACCAGGGGAGACTAAAAGGTCAAAAGGTCGGCTTTGAGGGAGCTGAAGCGCAACCAGAGGTGGGGGGGAAGCCTCCGAATGATTTCTGGGATTCTTTGAGAAGCACTAAGGCGCAGCTTCTGTTTTCAGAATCTGCAAATGCAAAAGCAACTAGGTCCTCCAGATTTGAGAGGTTAGAATAAGTTGCTACCAACTTCTTGTTGCTTTTCTGTGTCGTCTTGACTAGGGGAACCAACGGGCAGAAACGGGTGAGAACGGGCCACCTGAAGGCAACGCCTGAAGTCTCGCGACCAAACGGCACCCAAACCAAAGCTGGAGCCTAACGAAGCTGAGATCCCATAGCTTTCAGCTGTTTGGACTGAAAGGGACAACTTCAGGGTCTCAAGAACACAGTCGTTTCCAAGTCTTGCAACGCATTGCGGCATGCCGTGAACCTTTGGCCGTTGTGGTTGGCATCGCAACACAGGGTCGCTGAGCTACACAGGTCGACAAAAGGAATCCACGATGCTCTTGTCACTTCCCGTGGATGGGCTAAACAAAAGTCCAAACTTTGTGTGTCCCACTAAAATGGCTTTCCCAAATAGTGACTCAAGTCCGGAGTTCGAAACGGACTAACCACACTCTGTGTGTTTAGCACCAAAACAGGAACTCAAGGAACTCAGTTGGTTTTCCGGACTTAAGATTTGTTAGCACTAAAAACCTTCATCTACCTTCATCTACCTTCATCTACCCGGGTTTTGAGCAAGTGGCTCAGCTGGACACCAGTTGCCGCACCACACCGAGCGCGGCATTTTTTCGCGCGCCTGCAGGATCCAGCTGCAAGGAACGGCTCCTGAGAGGCGGGTGATCCGCGAAGCGTTGAAGAACGGGGAAGCCAAGTGGTGCACTGGCCCATGGTCGCAAAAAACCAGGTCTGCAAAGAAAACCTGGGCTTGAAATGGAAAAATGAAAACCTGGTCTCCCAGAATCATGGTGAAAAAGAGACAAAAAGAGGCACCGATCCATCCTAAGCTTCTAGTTGATTGCGGCTTCAGTGGGAGAACAACAGCACATTTTGGAGGTCTTCCATCTAGAACGAACCGAATGCATCATAAAATTGATTCCGACCAATAAGTGAATCGATTCTCCTTTGCTTTGCTTCTACAAGTATGTTGCTCCTGACGGGATTCGGCCGCACTTGCTCAAGTTAGACTCACTTGCCCAAAAGACCAGGAAATAACAGGTTAACCTTTTGGGACCTTTACCAAACTGGACCAAAATTGGAAAACCGAAAGGTCAAAAGGTCGGCTTTCGGCAAGTGAGTAGATGCAAAGAATGGCAGCCTGGCGCTGCACATCCGGGGCTTGCAGCGCGAGGTCCGTTGTTACGGACCTCGCGAGGCCTTTCAGAGGCGCAACGGAAGGAGAGGCTCGGCACCGCCTCGCGTGCTGTTGGATTTCTTCAAGGGAAGCCAAAAGGAAAAACAACTTGGGCATAGGTGTCCTTTTAGGGGAAACAGATGGCCCTGGTAAATGGAATACACCAGGTAAACCAGGGCCATCTATTTTTCTAGCAAAACAACCGAAAAGGACACCTATGATCTTGGGGTGCATTTGTTCTTTGCTGCCGCCGCGTTCACTGCAGAGTGGCAACCTGGAAGGAAGAAGAAGTGCATTTAAGTTCTTTGAGCCAACTTTCCCACCCTTTGGCCTTGCGAAAACAACCCGTTGTTTTTTTGGCAGAATGAACCGAACAAACCTCAATCTGGCTTCCTGGGTGTATTGGCCGGCAAAAAAAATATGGACTTGTTTCTCACTGTGGTCCAACCCCAAAACGCGGCGAAGGTGAAACGGAACTCGGGAAGTGTGAGAAAAAAAACGCCTGAATTCATGATCCAACGGTGAACACCAGGGTTCCACTTCTTGACCCCCCCAAGGTACCTAGAGTCTCCTTCTGACCCGAAATAAAAATGGTGGGTCACCCTAAATAATGGTTGGTCATGGACCTATTTTAATTTCGGGTCATGGAGACTCTAGGTAGATCCTTTTTAGTGTTTAGTGGATGATTGAAAAGAACGATGGCTGAAAAGAATGGTCAAGGAATCAACCCCCAGACTTTTTGATTCCCCCCCTTAGTGGACTTAAACCCCAGCGGTTCCTTTCCCCCAAAAGGAACCCGCCTGGGATTAAATGGCTTCCTCGATGTGGCCAAAAAGATGGATTCCTGGGACACCTACCTGACCTCTCAAAATTCGACACCTATCGACACCTGGCACCTACCTGACACCTCCCTATCGACACCTACCTGACTTGAAAATGACTTCTAGCCCCAAGATTCTGATGGGTGAATTCCCATTTTTTCTCTTATGGCCTTGGTACATCCCACTTTTCTGGTGGTAGCTTCCTCGTTGGCCCGGGCCGAAAAAAACAAAAGACGCCAAGACCTCAGCACCTGTCGGCTCGACGGGTCTCCTGCAGTCAAAGTCCCAGGTCATGGACGGCCAGCGGCGATCGCCGAAGCTGCCTCACGACGCGCGTCTCCGCGACTGGGGTCTCCGCGTCTCCGGCGGCCACAGGTTGGGAGTGGGACTGGGACCTGGAGTCTCCGTTTCTCGTTTCTGACCCAAACAAAACATCCAGCGACTTGAAATGGCAACCCCATTGTTTGATGGTCGTGGAGACTCCAGGTACAAGAAACAAAGAGAGTTAAACCAACCAAATACGGGGCGTCTTCTTGTTTGTGACCCCGTTCGCTTGAGCTTGCAGTGACACTCCCATTTAGAGCCAAATCCATTTCTAGCTACAGCCCGACAACCAACATGCAACCCCAGCAAAAGTGGTTTGTGCAGACAAAACTCTGTTAGATGATCCTTTCCAAAGTTCAGGCTATCAGAGAAATCAATCATTCGAGTCCTGATCGATGTGCCCTACTGTAAATCACCTAAGGTGCGAGCAAACTAGGTACCAGATTGCACAAATCAGCGCAAAGGGGATATCAAAGCCTGGAAGACTTGCCCTTTACCTCCGGAATCCATGTGAGCGCAGCTCACCAAGGAAACCCATAGCTTTGATGGCGGATGCTGGCGGTAACGACCCCCCTCTGCAAAAAGTGAGACACTGTTTTTCCGGTGGGTGCAATTCGGAAAACCACAGTGTTTCGTCCATGAAGTTAAAGTTCACAGATCCGTTACCAAAATAACCATAACAAAAAGAAAGAACCAGTGGCATGGAGTTGTTACCCAACAGCTGCCATAGTCGCAGGATGAGTCCATATTGCTGCCGATGACAGGACATCTCGGGCGTCGGTCTCAAAAGCAAAGGAAAAGGTGTCAGGAGGAGGAAACATGAACTAAGACCTCGACTGATTGACTGCTGGGTCGGCGGTCGGGGCCCAAAGCGAAAAGGTTTTAACGTTACCGATCGTGCTGCTCTGTTCAATACGTTGGGCCTTTCAAGACAAATGAATGAAATGAACAGCGCAACAGTGACGTATGTGCTGAACATATACTCCTTGGCACCCCAAAAAGAACTCCAGAAGCGGCAGCAATAACGGCAGCGGCCTTTCAAATTTTATTGCCTGGTATTCCAAGATTTCAGCCTGCTGCGTAGCAGAACCATCCCCAAACGCAGTTCTTCCGCCGGCGCTGCCGCGGTGCGGAGTCGTCACTCAAGCCATGGGGTCCCACCAAAAACGCCTTCGGTTCCGGCGTCCAAAGGCTTTGGGGCCTCCGAATCGCCGTTCGCATTTGGCCGAGACAAAGCAACTGGAACAGAGAAGTGGGCTGACCGATTTGAATTGTATCATGAAACTACTAGGGGACCTGGGACTTGAGAGTCGCCCTTGAACAGCCCAGAAACGAATGGGCTTGTTTCAAAATAGGGCCACCCCCGAAATGGCCGCGGTTCTCTTTACACCTGAAGAAAAACACCAGCGTACCTCAAAGTAGGGTAAGACCTCAAAAAATGGTGGATTCCATGTTCTGTTGCTGTGCCTTCAAACCAACCTAAAACTCACTTTCTGGGTGGGTTGGGCAACAAAAGTCGGAACTGCGTGCCTCCCACTGAAATTGTATTTCCAAAATCCATGAACTCAAGAACTGAGCACAAGACTACCCTCCAAACATACCCAGTGATTCCATGTCCCTGTATAGCACGTAACCAAGGGCTGAGCAGCTTTCAACAAACAAAAGGAACATAACGAAGGCTACCTATATATAGCTGGACCCTCAAAATACCTTCAAAAAGGGTTTATGCCTTGAACTTATGGGGTCAATTCCCTTTTTCATGGGTAGTTTGAGCGTCAAGGTCTCTACATATATATATATATATATCTGGTGCCCACCCCCATGGACCCTGGTTTGGTGCGTTTGAGAATGTAGATTTACCACCCCAAACAGCAGTAAAACCAGGATCCATGGGGGAGTATATATATATATATACATAGGTCACTGGGATCCACAGGGATACCCCAAATCTCGTCGGCAGCTCAGAGCGCTGCCCATAACGCGCATGGCGGCCAGGAGCGCATCGTTGGTCAAAGGCACCCCGGAGGAGTCCTGCAAGTTTCACTGGACCGACGGACGCAATGGGAAACCATCGGCTTTTCGTTTTGCGTTCGCGTACGCAATGCACAGGTCGTAATCCCAGAACCACTTGCCCAGGAGTTACACAGGTTTTAGTTTTTGGTTCTACTTGCCAAGGTATATCAAGGTGCGATGTTGGCACATGTTTTTGAGCCACAGCCAAATGGAGGAAATGGATCCATGAATCCATGTAAAGAACTAAGAACAATATAAAGAAATTAGAAGGCGGAATTCCGCAGCTATTTATGGCTGGGATCGTCCCTTACTAACCTTCACTTACCCGAATCGGTTTTGATTCTGGCTCACCTTGGCTTGAACCAGGCCGTTTTCAGTGGGGAAGTGTGCCACGGGAACCAAAAGGGGAATATGAGCCCCGAAAAGGTAGACGCTGGTTTCACGTTTGGTCCGGTGGCTCATTTCCCCTTTTTGGGGGAACCCTCTAAGTCCTCCAGTAAAGAGGTTAGAAGAAGGGTACAAACTTTCTTCAGGACGTCTATTTTAGTAGGGAAAGGGTAAACGGGCACTACTCTGGGGGGCCTAGCTGTGGTTCACTTAAGAAGTGATAAAGGATTGTGAGGAAAAACAGTGACATGAGATGAAATGACAGTGGTTTAAGTGAAGTGACCTTTCTCGATTTAACCCCTGGAAGCTTGAGGATCAAGGCGGACTTCCATCGATCAAGGTTTGCATGGCAAACTCATTTACAGAGCCTTCTCCCTTTTCCTGCTTCTTGCTAGGTCTCTTGGCCTCATAGTGTGCCATCCCACTGCCCGAAGCGTGGACTTTACAATATGTCTCTTCTAGGTCCTCCAGATTAGAGAGGTTAGAATAAGGCTACCCACCTTTTTGTTGTCTATGTTAGTAGGGGAACCCTCCCAACCAAAAAAGGGGTTAAGAAGGGCCCCTAGCCGGGGGACCTAGTCTTCTTTGTGGCGATCGGTTTGGCAAAGACACTGATTAGACTTGTTCTGCCAATCCACGGGAGCAAGTTGCTATTGCCTCTGCTTGCGGCTGCTTCACTATCCAGTGCACGAATCATGTGCTTCCACAGTGTTATCTTGTGTTGTCTTCCATTTGCTTAAGACCCCTGGAAATAATAATAAACAATAACAACAAACATTAGTGAAACATTCCTTTTCAAACCACCAAGGAAACAAACAAATATTAAGCAAATGGAAGTTGTCCTTGACCTTGTTACCAGTACTCTGACTGATGACGGCCCCGATTTCGCTGCTAGACTCTTTGGCAGCTTTGCTGTTTGGCTTGAGACAGGATGTTGGAACACACCAGAATCAGCTAACTAGAGTTCCAAAAGGAGGTTCGCAGGCATAACTGTGCGTGTATGCATTGATCACATACTAGTTCAGTTTTGGTTTAGCCAGTCATGCTTTCCAAGGTTGCACTTCAGTCCATGTCCTTTCGAAGCAAACAGAAATCCGGTATGAATGGGAACTCCAAGAAATCATGTTTCCAGCAATCCTAACCTAGGTCCTCCAGTAGAGAGGATAGAATAAGGGTACCAACTTTGTTCTGTAGTCTATTTTAGTAGGGGAACCCTCCCCCTGAAAAAGGGTAAAAGGGCACTACTCGGCACCTAGTAACTGATTGCCCCATTCCAGGCTTCATTTTTTCTTGACTGTGTTTTATTCCGTAAAGGGAACCAGTATTGAAAACAACAAAAGCACCTCTCCCCAATTCACGAAAGCACCCACGCTTCCGTGAAGCTGTCCGAAACGAGCCAAGGTGACTCTGGCTTCCGTTTATCCCAACCAAATGCGGGGGTTCAGTTGCTACGGTGGATACGTATTGAATACTCATACGGGGCCTGCTACATTGACTCCTTTCTGCTCATGCCACGCTAAAAAACTCAAGCTGTTCGGTTCCTTTTACCACCCTTGCCCTGTTCTATGTGTTGGAAAACCTCCTCAAACCCTGCTACTTCCCAATCCCGGCTAGTTAGGGCTTCTGATTTACTTGAATTACCGTATCTTAACTATGGCTTTGGGCTGTGGTTGGTTTTAGGGCAACCGTATCTTTGAACATCACGCACACCCGCATTGCCGCAGCCAGCTACAAGCCTGGACGACGTCTTTCGTTGCGCCCAATGCCGTCGTTTGCTGCCAGCTGCCGTCTGCTTGCCGTTCCTCGATACCGTATGGAGTGAAGTTTTGAATTACCAATAAACGGGTTGTTCATAGACTCACTTGCCCAAAAGACTAGGAAATAAAAGGTTAACCTTTTGGGACCTTTACTAAAACTGGACCAAAATTGCAAACCCAAAAGGTCAAAAAATTGGCTTTGGGCAAGTGAGTAGATGCTGCACACATGACCTGTCCATGTGGTGCAAGCTGAAACCTGTTGGTTGGAACTCGAAAAAAGGGTCTCCATCGGTCTCCTGAGACTCAGAAAAGAAAGGACCTCCATATATCAACATCGTCTGTGATCAACTTGTATGCATGTGATTTAGAAACCATGTAAATTCAACATGAGTTCAATAAGGAACGGACACACCTCCAGGAACAACCGTGCATTTCCTGGAAGAAGTTTCTCTAGTTTCCCCACAAAAAGCAATGAACACGACCAAGCAACTCCGCTGGATGAATCAGCATGATGGCCTTTGGCCAAATCTCTATCCAAAGCGAGCTCCTTCGTTACTGGGACATCCTGGAAGACAAACAACCACAAACCAACAAACAGCAACACCTGCGCAAACCTTACCCTACCCAGAGGGTCCCTTGGTACCTTATAAGGAGGTACATAGACCCCTTTTTGACCCCCTAAAGCTGTTCTCATGAAGTACTTGGACCCTCTGGGCTAGTAAGTACTCGCCAAAAAAGTAACCTTCGGGGAAGGGTCGTTTTTGTCCGTGAGGTCGCTAATGTTGACCCCGGATTAATAAACCCCGGGGTCTTCCCCTCCAAAAGTGATGATTCCCACTAAAACCAGGGACACCCCCATAATAATATACAGGGGTCTATTAATCCGGGGTCAACATTATTCGAGGTAGCTCCTGCAGGCCCTCAAAAGACCCGATTGGGTAGAAGGAATCTTCGAACATACCTGTTGAGCATACTGCGGAACACGTCAGAACCCATCAGAAGTCTTGGCGAGATTTGGGGTATGCACGAAAGGTATGTTGGAGGGTTCTGGCAAGTCGTTGAGAGGACAAACTCAGAAGCTCCCCTCCTACCATCAAACCTGGTTTGGTGTGCAGACCCCTCTGGAAAAACCACATTCCTCTTGAAACGGGTTTCTGCGAACTTACATGATTCTTCGAGAACCTGCTCCTTGGACTGATTCAATCACAGCGAGCTGCGTATTTTTTTCCATGCAACTGGGCCCAAAGATGATGACGCAAAACCCATTATTTAGGGTAATGACCAACCATTTTGCAAGGGTCAGAAGGAGACTCTAGCTGCACTCAGGTCATTCCAATTGCGAGATGTGGTTGGCTCACTTTGAGCACCTGCTGCGCTAGATGGGAAAAAACTTCTGCCCGGCCCATTCAGAACGAACAGATTGTCATACTAAGCTATGTGGTTTAAACTAGGTCCTCCAGTAGAGAGGTTAGAATAAGGGTACCCTTTTCTTGTAGTCTATTTTAGTAGGGGAACCCTCCCCTACAAAGGGGGTGAAGGGGCACTACTGGGGGGCCAAGATGTGACTTAAAGCAGGGGGCCAATCTTGTCATTTCAAGAAATAGTTCAAGCAGGCAGCCTCCCTCTTGCCTTGCCACGGTCGCACTTTTGCGACTCACAGACATCCATGGGAGACCAGGTCACCCATGGGCTATTGGCAATTGGAGGATATCTCCTGTTTGCCCAAGTGAATGGCTCCCGACCTTGGGTCCATGACCACGTTCCAACGCGTGGGTGTGGGTTTGCATCCCCTTGAACAAGTTTCCAAGTTGCAACATGGCTTTGGTGTTGGCTCAAACTAGGGCAACCAGAAATGCTGGGTTTGCCCGGGATAACTTGGCCCCTGCATAAACTGGGCTGGTCCCAGATTCCTGGCTAAAAGTTTGACTTTTAGTGGTTTAGTGGAAACTACCACTAAACCCAAAAGTTCAAGACTCCTAAGGAAGCGGATGGTTGGGCTTGCCACCAAGTGAAGTCATTTGGCCATGGGTCCAAATCCAAATCGTACCCCCAGTGAACATCCCAATCCAACCACTAAGATAGGTTCTAAAATGGGTTGTCTTGGTTGACGTTGGAAGGGGAGCAAAAATATATGTTTTAGCAGTTAAGTGGTTGGATTTCAACCACTAAAACACCATATGCAAAAATAGGAACAATGCTTCCCCAACACAACTAAGGAATACATACGATGAAATGAAATCGCATATTTATGCTTCGCGACCATTTATGCGATTTTTGTGTATTTCTGCAAAATGGGGATTTCAACCATGTGCACCTACCAACCAAAATGGTATCCCATTGGTTTTGACCACAGCCATTTGGCGCTCGCTGAAAACGCCGAAAAAACCACCGGAGCCGCCCAGCGAAGCTTCGCTAAGCCGCCGGGCGAAGGCTAAGCTGGATGGCAGCGAGGGGCTCGAGGGTGAGAGCTGCAGCATCTGGAGGGCTTGGCTTCAAGAGGAAGGGGCGATGGGGTACTTAGGAACAGGGTTTGCGTGAACAGCCTCCCTTGCAAAGGGTTTGCTTCTCTAGGGGCGATGCTTTGGTACTTAGGAAACAGGGTTTGCCTTTTCTGAAATGAACAGCCTCCCCTTTTCAAGGGGTTTCTGCACTAGAGCTGCTTATTTATCCCACAAAGAGTGGGAAAGGCCATCCATGCTTGGGAAGTGGGGAATCGTGTGGATTCACCAAATCCATTTCGCACCACTCGATTTGGTTTCCGGAATCCCCAAACGGTTCATTCAACCAACACCTTCTGAAGGGTCATTCCCTACTGAGCGCCAGCAAGTGAAGTGGATGATTTTGATGGTTGCGAAATCCACAAACCGCACCACGAAATGAAACCATGGTTGAAACCATAACGTTTGCTGGTATTTACGTTGGGGAATCGAATCATTCTAGGGTTTCTGAAGGGTGGTGCAGGATTCGTCCATCCACAGTAGCGATGGTTGTAAGTTATAAGTATCCTTAGTGAATTATAGCCAGGATTGCTAACCACATAGTTTACCTCGGTTGCGAAATCTGCTCCCCCGCTAATAGTGACTAACTTTTAGTGGTTTAATGGAGAACTCATTAGTTGGCAAAAGTTAAAGTCCTAACATCCAAGCAAAATGCTCCAAAGTTACCCTGCCCCTTGAAGTAGGCTTACCTATGCCTAAATGCTACGGGGGCTCCCCGTACAAATGGCGCTCTGTTTACTTTGTGTATACCAACATGAAAGGGGGGTTCCCTAAGAACAAAAGCACGCACACACACACACACAAATCCAGCAATCCAGCATTGATATCACCTTTGCGAGAAGCAAATAAAAAATGAACTAACACTAAACCAAGGGATGAGGGAGTAAATTTCGAGCACTACCTGTTTGAATGCTTAGCTATTCTGCATGAACATGGAAATCCAGCGCTTCCGCTGTGAGTTCCCGGTTGAAAAGCCTCTGTGATTCGACATTCGGAAAGACTGGGTCTCTCAATATGGGGACCAAGTTACCCTCCCATCCACGAGCATGGAACTTCACAGGAGGTCCCGGAAGACTTTTTTTTATTAAGGGACCTACTGATAGGTTCTGTGCAAATTGGTGGGTAAGGGAACCCTTGAGATAATCCTTTTTGAGTAGCCGCACACTGGCGGGTTTTCCCGTGCCCATGGATAGGGAGATTAAACAAAAAACCTCTACCAAGGCGAGGCAAATCCAAGCTTGGGGTCTGCTGTCTTGGGCCCAAAGGAAAGACCAGGACCGCCGAACTGACCGATTCCTAACCTGCCGAACTGACCCAGTAAAAACACGAAGGCTGAAACAAGGGATCGGTTCTTTGGGGGGGCACCCAAATGCTTGTCCAGATCCCAACGGGTAGAAGCTTTGCCTTCCTTTCAGCTCCCGTTTCTGTTGGCCCCCGTTGTTGTTGGAGACACAACCACAAATTCCCGCAGTTCCGTTGGATCCCGTTTTGGAATGAACGGGAAACACGCTGCCGGGACTCGCTTTGCTTTTTGTTTGCTCCACGATAAAGGGCACCAATGATACTTTCGGGTGCTTGAGGAGTCAGGTGGAGCAAGTGGACGGCACTGGCGAATGCTGGTTGTTTTCCATTGGCTTCCCCAACAAGCCCAAAAACTCACTTCCTGAGTTCCCTTTCGGACTTTAGTCACTTTTTGGGTCTGGACCATTTTAGTGGCCCACAAAAAGTGTGGTTGCCTTTGTTTAGCTAGTCCACTCGATCGGTGAGAAGAAAAAGCACCTCCCCCTCCTTCCCGGTCGCTGTTAACCCTGCGGATTGACATGGGTGTCTCAGAATCGGGGGACCCTCAAAATTGGTGGTTCCTTTCGGTTTCCGGGCACCCAGAAAAAATGGAACCCGAAAAGGGTGTCCCCCAAAAGGAGATTCATCTTCAAATGGTGGTTTGCTGGGGTCCATGTGAATCAGGGAGTCGAACGAAGCTCAAACCCGTACAACCAAACTTCTGAAAAGCACTTCTGTTAGGTTTGCCTGTCTTTGTGATGTCCCTTTGTTCACCGCGAAAGGAGGCCAATGGGTATGCGACCTCAAAACAAAGCCGCAAAGGTACCATCTTTCGAGAGCGTCTTGGATGAGAGCGTCTTGGTGTGCTGCTGTCGTCGACCCCACTTCCCCGAGCCTCCCCTAGCCCCTAGTCCCCAAGGCGGCGCTTATGAGCACATCCACTGGCCCATTTGTTCTACAAATCTCAAAGTCACCCCTTGCATGAAAGGAGAAACCACCAATTCCAGCTTCTGACTTTCATTCCCCCAAAAAAAAGCGTCAAACCATGACCCGAGATCGGTCTGTCTTTCTTTCAGGGCACCTGTTTTAAAGTGGCTGGAGAAACCAGAAGGAAAAACCGTCCGGCCATATCGGGCTGCATTCATTTTGAGCCCTCCCCCCCCATGTTTTAAGACCCATGCCGCCTTTGAACCGAAAACACAGGGATGCATTCATTTTCAGCCCTCCACCCCCATGTTTTAGGACCCTATACCGCCTCTGAACTCTAAAACACACACACATCAAAAAACTTCTGGCCCGAGAAATGTCTCGCTCGCTCCACTCCACTCGACTCGGCTCGAAAAAAGAAAGAAAGAGAGAACACAAAAGAGAGAAGAAGCAGCGCCGCGCTCGCTCCACTCCACTCAACCCGAAAAAAAGAGAAAGACGCAGCGACGCAGCGACGCAGCGCCCAGGCGAGCGCGCCTCGCGGTGGGCCGTCAACGCCGCCAGCAGCTGCTGCCCAAAGTCCGGGCCGCACTTCCGCGGCAGCCTCGAATCGAGCTCCGAGTCTCCGAGTCTCCGAGCGCCAAGCCGAGTGGGAGCCGTGCGCGAAAAGGGCGGCGGGGGGGGAGGTTTTTGGACCCCGGAGCGCCAAGCCCAGTGTAGCAAGACAACCTCATGGATGGGGGGTGTTACTAAATATGGGGTTGGTTGATTAAAACAATGGGGGGGGTGTTACTAAATATGGCCGTACGTTGTCAACACCGGTTTGGGATCCCATTTTGGTGGGTAGGTGAATTCACCCATTTTGGAACCTATTTCAGTGGTTGGATTGGGATGTTCACTGGGGGCACGGGGCTTTGATGGCCATATGGGGTTGGTTGATATGGGATGGGGGTGGGGAGCCCTCCAAAAGTGGTCCGAATCCAACCACCACACCCAGAAAAGCAGCACCCGCAAACCCGACTGGGGCAAATTTCCTTCGGACCTGCCAACGCAAGGGGCCCAGGTCGAGAACCCACGGGGTCATACCCGAATCATGGAACCTGACGAGCTGAAGAGGAACACTGAAGTTGCTTGGCTGGAAGTAGTTGACCACAGCAAACTATATATTTGTTGCCCTCACTTCCCGAGTGGGTTGGCCAAAAAAAGTTCGAACTTTTTATTTACCACTAAAATGGTCTTTCCAAAAAGTTTAAAGTTCATGAACTCAGGAAGTTTAGTGGAAAACAAAGGGAACCCCAAAAAAGCCAAAAAAAAAAAAAGGGGAACGAATTCTGGGGAAGGAAAAAGGCCAATTTCCATGAGGGGCCTCCTCTTTTTTGGCTCCATGTCTGTTTGTTTGGCAGGGTACGAGGCGCACACGTTAGTTTCACGAAAAGTTGGGGGGTTTGGGGTTCGATCAAACCGAGCCTAATCATGATAGCCATGGGGTCGCTAAGCAAGGGAAGAAGGTCGAAACCTGCCTAAAACTGTTCCGATCGCAATGTTCCCGGCCGGTGCTGGCAGGTGCACTTTCTACTGAATGCTTGCAGAAACCTTTTGTAAACCAACAACAAATGGGTAATGTAAGCAGTGCACCATGGTGACGCAAATGGTATGATTCCCTTCATGTTTGCATACCAAAACGCGGTGAAGTTGTGCAATCTATTTTCACCCAGAGGTGACGAATCGCCACCCATATCTAAGGACCAGCGCGATGTCGTAATTAAAAAAGTTTGGCTACCTGGTCTTGAATAAAGGTCTGGTAGGGAGATGGGGTATTGCTCTATTATTGCCAATAGTTAGTTTAGTATTGCGAGCCCTTCCTGTTGCATCGCCAGTACTTAATTTAGTAATTTAGCATTGCCCCCTTAGCACTATTTCGTATCGCCAGAACCTGTTTAATATTGCCTAGTCCAAATTTAGTATTGTCAGGACTTACTCACATGCAGATTTCCCGTGCTTAGATTTGTACTATACTCTAAATGTAGTACTCCCGAAGATGCAGCGCCGGCCTGTCGATCCACGCAGGCTTCTCTTCCAGCATTCGAAGCAAGGCCGCCTAGATCGAAAGAATTCAGGCACCACGCCTTTTGGTTGCTGCTACGACCCCTCTGCAAAAAAAGACGTTCACTTTTTGTGGGTACCTGGAGTCTCCACGACCCTTAAAAAAAATGTCATTACCCAAAGTACTGGGGTCATGGACTCATTGTTAAAGTGTCGTGGAAAGTGTGGGACGTAGGGAAAATCCACAAAGCTTCAACCAACAAGTTAAAGTCCAAATTCTGTTCCCAGAGAGCCATGAAAACCTGGCAGCGGTCGACACTCACCAGGAAAGGAATTCGGCCATGGCATCTCTGCTCAAGAAAGCTCTACCTATGACCCTTTAAAACTGGGTCCATGACCCCATTATGTTGCGTAATGACACCATTTTTTAAGGTCGTGGAGACTCCAGGCAGTGTTGGTTTCAAATCACCACGCCTGCTATGAACAAGTGGTAAAGTCAAACCTTTCACAACAAATGCTGGAAGGAGATCCCTCTAGCTTGGGGGGCCAAGGTGTGGGGGGGTGCTCTCTCAACTGAAGGGCAACACGTCTCCGAAGGTGTCGGAGGCCCCTCTTTCAAGCATTTCAAGTACCTCAGGTTTGACATCTTGTACGCCTAAAACGACACAAGCACTTCTGAGTGGGTCCTTCTTCAACAGGTATCCAAGGAGTCCAGAAAAGAGGCCCTAGTTGACAACTTGAAGCGACTACTGTAGGTGAGTCATCATCAACACTGAACACCTGACATCGAAAAGGTCTGCCCAACTCCATGCAAGGAACTTCAAAGGAGCGGATTCCGGTCGCCATCCAAAGCGCTCGCCTGCTCCGTCCTCTCCACCACCGTCTTCTCCCGCACATGGTCGCCACCCAAAGCGGTCGCCTGCTCAATCTCCCCCACCGTCTTCACCCGTGGATGGACGATGAAATCAGTTTGGCCAGCTGGCTGGCGAAGAATGCCATCTGTGACGTAGTTCACTGTAATTCGCCAGCACTATGGCCAGAAAGAATCTCCGAGCCAGCATTTTCCCCTTGCGATGGCGAGTGGCCAAGTTTGCAGCTCGAAGAATGGATCTACCTAGAATCCAAAAAGGACGCCTTGTTGCTGCCTTTGACTCATCGGAAAATGTAAAAAGGCAGAAAAGAGAGTCCTTTGGGGGTCCAGCTAGAGTTAACGCCGGGTTACTGGTGATGCTGGTTGGGATCACGACATCCCGCACACGTTGGTAGGCGGTTTAGCTCACAAAACATGATTTTCCTGCATTCAAGTGTGTTGTTTGTTAGGAATCGGATCCCCCAAAACGTTTCTTTTTTTGTTGCAATCTTTGGTGTTCCTTGAAATTAAACCAACCCACCCAGAAAAGCGGGTACCTAGAGTCTCCATGACCCTTTCAAAATTGTTGGTCCTTACCCCAAATCATGGGGTCATGGACCTATTTCTAAAGGGTCATGGAGACTCTAGGTTGACGTGATTCTTCAAAGATCGGACCCCCCGCATAATCGGAGCCCCCAAAAAAAAAACACTCCCCCCCCCCAAAAAAAAATGCCCATGTCGGCCCGTCCACCCCCCCGTTCTTCACTTCCGGGAGCGGCGCCAGCGCGGGATGCTCCGCAAGCTCCTTGGGCGCCACGAGGCGGGCCTGCAGCGGGAAAAAAAGGCCGAAAGGAGCTGGGCGACCCAAAAGGATGGAAAACCCCCCCACCCCAAATACCCACCTTTTTCTAGGGCGCTTTTGTGTCAGACTCCCCAAAATGCCCAGGTCACCTTGAAAGCGCCGGAGTCCATCATCACCTAAAAGCTTATTCAGGAGCGCGTGCTCCTGGGCTCGGGTGCGATGCGCTGAAGCGGCGACGTGGCCGTCGTTGGCCAGCTTCCCACTTGGCATGACCATGCCATTGCTGGCCCTAACCTCTTCCTTGTGGGTCACGCTCACCAAGCCAACCTCAGCCGCTGCCAGGACCTTGTTGCGCTCCTGGAGGAACAGGCCCATGATGATCGGTTTTTCAAGGTAAGTACCTCCTTGTTTAGCACAGGGCCGACATGATACCCTAAAAAAGTGGGTATTTGGAGTCGGGGGAAGCTTGACAACCAATCCATAATCCCACGAAAATCACTGGAAACCTAAAGGCTCTTTTTCATGGCTGCTATCACGCGGGGGCCAAAGGAAACGCTGGAAAACTTGACAACCAATCACAGTCAAGTTGGCGATCCACTGGAACTAGGCGATCCATAATCCAAAACTAGTTGTTCCCAAAACTTGGCGATCCATCCACTGGAACAACGACTTCCTACACGTTTTGACGGGCACCTGTTTTAAAGAGACACGCCCTTTTTTCGATCCATAATCCCACGAAAATCACTGGAAACGGGACCCCTTCTTAGGTAACCTAAAGGATTCAAGCAATGACTCATGACTCCTGCATGGGGAGGAGCCATATTTGTTTTTGATCTCAACCTTTAACCCCTCATTTTTGCATATTTGGATTAAGCAACCCGAAACCTCGAATTCCGATTTAACAACATTTTAATTCCAATCGTTTCAAGGGAAACCATGAGTTTGTGGCCTTCTTGATTTTCATCTTGGCTCCAAATGGGCTGTGTGTGTGAGGCGATTGGTTCACACTCACCCCTCTGTATTGACGTGTGGCTCCTCAAAGCACTAAAGGAGCCACCCACACATTTGCGAAGCATCAAAGAAAGGTTGGTTGTCCCTTCGTGCCCTTCGAGGGGAATCGACACGGTGTGGCTTGCAAGGAGAGGGCCAAACCCTTGCTTAAACCATGGTTTGATCCTGGGCCTTAAATTGTGGGTCTGGAAAAAAGCACATCCCTTTGGTTTCCCTTTGGGAACAACTTAGAACTATATATGCCACCCTGAATCCAATTCTGCTCAAGTAACCTCCCTTTTGCCCCAAAAGCGTTGTGCGCAAATTCCACAAGGAGTCATCAGGTTGTTCTCGCTGTCTGCCATACGGAACGCTTATAGTTTGACATTATACCCTGCAACTGCACCCCGGAAATCCCCTGAAAATACAAAGTTTAGTAGCTTTTCTACCTTCGACCCACTAACAAGTGGAACAAAGGCTGAAAAAAGGGGTCCCTTGACGGTGCAGGAAAGGTTCCAACAAGATGTTGATCCCCAAACAACTTCTCAAACTCAGGAAGTGCGGGGGATCATTACGCAAATAACATGTGTCACGCGACTCAACAATTCAGCCATCAGCAAAGCCCTTGCAGTGACAAACGAGGACCACACCTAAATGAACCAACTGCAACCCAACAAGCGAAGTAAGGACAACAGCAAATCAACAAATGCCCTCCGACTTCTTCCAGATCCCACAACTCTGAAATACATCTTGGTCCGGAAGGATTCAAGGAGTCCGCGTGACGCCTACCTGAAGGGGCGATCGATTCGGCACGTCAGGTAACAGGATAGTATGCCGGGCGAAATAACACACTTTTCAGCAATGGAGTACAAGTCTCCGTTCAGTTGGCTACCCTGACGTGCCGCATCGATCGCCCCTTTAAGTAGCTTTTGTTGACTTTGAGTTGGCCAGAATTCAGCGTCACAGCGGAGGAGCTTTGGACCAGGCATGAGAAGTACTACCCTCGCATCTTCCCAGCTCCCACAAATACTAGGCGGGGGTGGGGGTCCCGTTCACAGGTCTGGAATTTGCTGAAGGTTGTTTACGGAAACAGTATGCCGAATAAACCGAGTCAAAGGCTGGACTTCCCAAAGGTTGTCTAAAGTCTAAAATTCCTGTTGCAGGGTGTTGATGAGTGTGGGTTCCCCGGTCAAGTAAGTGCTTTGACAAAGCCCATCACAACCCAAGGTCAGGATTGGGGAAGTGCCCTTTCTCACCCTTTATTTGGTTGGGAGGGTTTGCCTACTAAAAATAGACTACCGAGGAAAGTTGGTACCCTTATTCTAAACTCTCTAACTGGAGGACCTAGTTTACCGTGGCTTTCCCCACACAAGGTCTGGGCTGTTCAAAGCAAGCCCCAATCCTGACCTTGGGATATGGGCTGCTGGACCTAGTAAAAGAAAAACCCGGCCCCTCCCCATCCGGCCAGAAGCTCCCCCGTGAGATTCGGGTCATCCGTCGGCAGCAGCCAAACCTCAAGGAGGGAAACCTCCCCGATGCTAGGTGAGTCCAACCATTTTGGCCCGGCTTAGGGACCCAATAGGACATCCATGGGTTTCACCAGGAATCCATTGGGCCACATGGAAGACATTTCATCTCAGGCGGGTTCCTTTTGGGGGGAAAGGAACCGCTGGGGTTTGAGTTCACCTTGGGGGAATCAAAAGTCTAGGGGTTGATTCCAACCATTCTTTTCAAAAATCGTTCTTTTAAAAAACCGGATCTGTTTCCCCAGGGTTTTGGGTGGCTTTTTAGAAAGAGGGATGCCTGGAAAGAATGCGAATGGAAGGTACCCCTAGAATGCTCAGTGCCGAGCGGGTGGACGGCCCGAAAAAAAGTAACCAAATTGTGGGAATGGGCCATCCACCTGAGTGTTCAACCAAAGTACTTATCGAATGTTCACTTTCTGAGTGGATTGGCTGAAAAAGTAACCAAACTTTTTGTTTACTACTAAAATGGTCTTCCCAAAAAGTATAAAGTTCAGGAACTCAGGAAGTGAGAAAGGATTCTACCAAACGTTCCGGATGCGGCGTTACTCTAGGAAATTGAACGACTACTGAAAATTTACGAAACAAGGACCAACCAGGAGCACAACAGGAACAAATAAAAGTCAACAAACGGCGCATCCAAGCAACTATTTCTGGACTATTTCGGGACGCGTTGTTTTGGTCGTCTAAAAAACCCCACCCGCTTCGGGGCAATCAAAACCCGGTATTAACATGGTTGACCCAGAACCATGTAAGGAAATACGAAGGCGGCCGCAGCTATTTCTGGTTGGGATTGTCCCTTACTAACCTTCACTTACCCGAATCGGTTTTGAGATTGTGGCTCACGCTTTGACTGGCCCCATTGAAGGGACCCTATTCTCATCCACATTCTGAAACCCGCACTGGGTTTCGCGTCCCGCCAAAAGCAGAGTCTAGGTCCTCCAGATTTGAGAGCTTAGAAGAAGTTGGTACCAACTTTTTATCTCTAGTCTATTTTACTAGGGGAACCCTCCCCGGAAAAAACAAATGGTAAAAGTTGGCACCTAGCTGGGGGACCTAGGAGTCTCTGAAGATAGGAGTGGGCTTCATGGCTTCAAGGCGTTCCATGTTTGTCAGACTCCGATAGCTTTCTGGGTTCCATGATTTCCATGTCAGAGTGCCCGCAAATGAGCAAGACACCCTTTCTCGCTCCGGGGAAATGGAGGGAATGCGCCGTTCCAGCCAAGCTTGTAGTGTGGGCGCATCGAGATTTGGCCTGAGGCAATCAATTTCCCCAAATATCAACTTGAAACACTAGCGTTCAAGCAACGGCAAACAGAGTGTGTTGCCACAATTCGATCGCTTCTACAAAGGGGAAGCAGGTTCATGCCCACTACCATTTGAGGGAAGAAGAAATCTTGTGCAGAACAATAATTTGCATCCTTTTTTGGTTGCTTGAATTTAAAGAGTTCGGAGCCCTTCCCCAAACAAAAGAAGAAAAACAGTGGGCGGAAGCCAGTGGTTGCACCTGCGCAACGCACTTTGGCGCCCCTATCCGGTGACTCTAAGGCCATGCCTAGCTCACTTCCGAGGAAAACGGACCAACAAAAAAAGCAAGGAGAGCGTTTCGACTAGAAAAAATCGCCCGGCGAGCTCGCAGAGCTTGCAGGCAACTGGCGAAAAACTCCTTTTGGCGACCTCATTTGCCCCACTCGCAGGTGACCTTGCTTGTCTATGACTGAATCAAAGCGCAAAGGACACCAACAAGCTATATACATATCCCGAAGGGTCCCTTGGTACCTTCTCAGGAGGTACTGAACGACCCTTTTTACCCCCAAAAACCATCCTCATGAAGTACTTGGACTCTCTGGGTATAACATGTGTACATATAAATACAAATAACCGTAAAGTCCATCTACAGATGTGTAGACTGTATACGTGACACCTGTGATTCTGAGTTCATATTGGCATGCCAACAAATATATTCATAAACCAATGCATACCAAACTGACACATCAAACACCCTGGCTTGAAGCATCACATACATAAGGTGGACGGACAACTTCCTGCACCTGGTTGAAACCAGTGTTTACTGGAGCTTTACGTTGCGGAACCGACTAATACGGTTTCTGAACAGTGGTGTGTTGGATGGAGTTCGCAAGCATCCACAGCCATTTGCTTAAGCACCCCGGGAAAATGAGAAAATATGTCCAATAATGATAGATTCCTTTTAAAGCCAGAAACAAAAACGCCATTGAGCAAGTGAAAGACAATATGACAGAACATACGTCTCTGTTTATGCACTCCTGGCCGCGATCGCGCCCGTTGAATCTCTGGGCCTCCCGGCAGTCCTGGCCCCGACAAGCAGCTCCTAGGCTGCCGAAAAGCGCTTTTCTCGGGAAAAGGAATCCCGCTGCATGCTTTTACCATAGTCTGGATTCTTACCAGAGGCGAATGGGTTTAATCAACACCAATTTATTCATAGGGCTGCCTGGGTTTAGTAGGGGATCCTGGACCACTTGTGGAGGGGATCCTGGACACTCCTAGAAAAGGGCCGACCCCTTAAAAACAAGCCCTGCTTTTACCATACCCAGTGGCGAATTCCACCAGACGCTCATGGACGCTAGGGAGGGTCCAATCCCTATAGACAGGGCCCTCGCCCGGCCCAAATCTGCCCAGCGGATCCCAGTTTGAAGGGGGGTTCCCTTGACAAATGGATCCACTCTGTGTTGTGGAATCGTGAAGTGACTTGCGTCCACGTCCCCAAGAGAATCATGAGATGTTGTGGGAAAATTTGATTGCCCCCCCATGTCCTCCCAAAACCAACAAACTGCCAATCATATTGTCACTTCCTGATATGAGCACATGTTCTAATGGTAACTTGTTACGCGTCTCCGATGCCATCCCCTCCGCAGTAAATTGATGCGAAAATTGACCGCTCGCCGCTCCCTTCCCCCCTCTTTTGCAACTGCCCCACAACAGTTTGGGCAAGCAAGCAAACAGAAGTGTTGTATTGTCCGCCTGAATAGTACTTGCAATGACCCATCCAAAACGGTAGTCGCCTTTTGGTCTGGCAGAACATGTTTTTAATAACCAACCTTGTATTTTCTCGCAAACCTGGACCCCAGGGTTCACCCCCCGTGAAAACAATAATTGTTGACCCAATTTGAGTGATGAAATTCCTGAACGGTAAATTTATTGTGGTTGTATATGCTCACCTCATCTCACCCCTTTAGAAAAAAAAGAGGTGACTAACCCCCTGCCTTGAGCAAACCAGCCGAAGTTAAAAACTCGCGCAGGTTCTCAGCAGGGAATGAGTTGGCATGACCCCCCAAAAAACCCATCGCCTATGGTTTCCTTTAAGATCCCCTTACCACCGAAAGGCTCACGACTGCCTGGGCCTTCAACATTGCTTGAGGGGCCTGGGCAGTCCTCAAACCTCGGACCCTCCCCTAGTAGCGTCCATGAGCGTCTGGGCAGCTTTCAAAAGCAGAACTCAAGATCTAGGTCCTCCAGCAGAGAGGTTAGAATAAGGGTACCCTTCTTTTTTCTGTAGTCTATTTTAGCTTTTGGAACCCTCCCCAAAAAAGGAAACGGTAAAAGGGCACTAGTGGCCATGGGGGACCCAGCTAATATCATCCAGGCTGCGTAGAGCAGCAGGAAATCCTGCGAGAGCCGTAGTGGAAGGCACCTGCGCCGTTTGCGTGCGTCGCTTGGGACGTTCTGGGCTGGTTTTGGGCAGCCAAAAGGCTGTAGTCGCTCCAACAAAGTGTCCATTTGCTTTTTCGCCCCCTGCAAAAAATGAGGACATCTGTCCACTAGTGCTAGATTCCCCTTTAAAACCAACAGGGGAAAAATCCGCCGACGCCAGTCGAGCGTGTAGATGGCAGTCCGCAACTTGGTCTTCCTTCGGAATCTCTTATCAAAGCCGAAGGCTTTTGGGACTGCTATTTTTTGGGCATGCTGTGCTACGTGTCCAAAACCCTGTATTTTTTCCAGTGTTTTTGGGTCTTTCGTGCTAGAAATCTGCGTTTCGCCTAGGTTCCCCCGGTCGCGCAGGATCTGCATCCCCAGCATCATGAGGATTATCTTGTTGCCATGAATTTGTCTCTTTCTTTTGCAGATACTAGTGGCGTTTTGCTGTTTCAAGCGATGTTGGAATTGGCCTGTTAGGGGTTTGGGTGAAGCCAAGTGCAGTGAAATTTGCAAAAAACGAGTTTTCTTGCAATTCCCCACCTGTACGGAGCAGCTACTGCGAAACATCCCCTGCATTATCGTGTTTTTGAAAAACCTTGGTTTTTTGCACTTTTTTGTGGCTAGCCGGCTGCATTCCCAGCATTCCCCACAACTCTCGTATTTTCTGTGTTTGGTCAATGTCGCGTGTGTGAAAGTCTTAAAATCTTGAGCGTGAAGATTGGGTTTGTTCTTGTAAGTTGTGTGGCTGCATCGCTTGCATTTCCAGCATCCTCAGCATCTGGGACATGATGTTAATGGGGGACTGTCCACTGGCGTCGGCGGATCGCGTAGCGATTTCAATATTCAGCAAACGGAAGACACTCTAGGTACGGAAGCTCACTTTCAGCTTGGCCAAAAACGTCTTTGGGCCCGGTACCTGCAACCCCATGATGATAGGAGCAACATGTCAAGTATTCAGCCCCTCACCAGCGCCCAAGGAACTCAATCTTCTAAGGGGTTGATGGCAGGTTTCGCAGCTGAAAGCCTGGGCCAAGACCCAAAAGCATGTTCAGCTCGGATTCACCCCACATCGCATCCGTGAGCTCGCCCTTGCAACTGCCACTTTTGGAGCAAACCACAATCTTCATGGTGCAAAGGTCACTGGAATTCCCCCAAATCAAAAGTTGTGAGCTGGTGGGTTTCCATTGAATCGGTCGCCACTTCTGGGAATGGTTCGGAAACCTGCGATCGAATCGATTCGATTCGTGAGCTCACCCTCGCCTCAGAAGGGCCGACATTGCCAGCACGCCCTGCTTGGCAGTGCCTGAAGCAAAAAGCGACAAGTTTCACCCAGTCATTCCAACTCAGAAGGAAACCAAGCACTACAATTCTGCACCACCCAAGAAACCCTGGAATGAGGATTCCCCTGTAAATACCAACAAACAATGGTTTCCCATGGTTTCAAAGCCAGAAGCTGTGTTCCAGAAAGAAGCCCAGTGTTCCGGCCATTTGGCGTCATGCAATGCTCGTGTCGCCAGTGGCCCACAAAACCAGAGCCGCACCTGTGCATTTTCCCGCACTGCTCCTCATGGCACCCCCAACTGGCCAGCCCAACTGGCCCGACGTGCAAAACCGATTGCAAGTTGAAACCTTTTTACGTAGTGTGGGACCAGGAAAGTTCACCATTTTCCCGGGCCCAACACTTCAAGGTGACCATTTTCCCGGGCAGTCGTATCTTGGGACACGGAGCCAGTCGTCTCGTGGGAACACTTGAAGTCTCGCGAGCGAAAAAGGAACGCGAGAACGCTTGCTCTAAGTAAACATTTAAAAAATATGCGGCGACATGGATCAGTTTCAAAGGGAAACAAGAACTTGAAATCACAGAACACCGGTTCAAACCTCATGTTCCAAAACTGGGCTGTCCGCAGATCCCCCGCTAAAAGTTCAGCTTTTTGGTTAAACGGAAATCCCCCACTTCACACTCAAAAGCTAAAAGGTTAAGGGGATGGCTGGGAGCCACCAAGAAAACGATGTTCAATTCCCACCAATCAAAATTCGGGGGGCATCCCGAGTTTAGCCGAACACAAGGGAAGCCAACCGGAAACCAGACACGAGCTGGGCTGCTAAAAGTTGAAACCGTTTCAGTGGCTTGGTGGAAGCTACCAATAAAAAACCACAAGGGACTGGTCTCATTATTTTATCATGATCAAAGTCACCCCCTAAGTGGTGGGTTAAAGGGGAAAAACACATATTTTCTGACTTTGATCATGAAACCAAAAACCGTCAACACCCCCAGAAACCGTCAAAATAATGACCCCAAAGGGAACCTGGCACAACCTGAAGAACCGGATGCCCGACACGGAACACGGAACCACATGACTATCGGAGAGAACCGATTCATGAGACCGACCCTGGCCTGGCTCATCTTGTTGCCCCAGCCATGGAGCCTCATCTTTTTTCTTTGACCCCTGGGTGTTCCTCTCAAACCGATGCAGGAAATGCAGGACATCCTGTTTGTTTTTGTTTGGTGGAGAAACTTGCTTTCTGTATCTATGACGGATTCCTTGACATTCATATGTGTCAAAGTGGGTGTGTCTGTTTTTAGGTAACCTCCAAAATGGCGTCGGTGTTCCTCTTGATTTCCATTTAAACCCACAAGAAAAGGAAATTCTGAGCCCAATGCATTTCGGTGCCTTTACGCCAACCTGAAAAGGGAAACCCCTGCAGTCGGCTTTCCTGCTTGGTCTCCAATCTGGGAAGGAGACCTGTTGAGCGCCATTATGACATGTGTGCGTCTTGGGGAACCATGATGCTTCAGCAACGCAACAAAGTGCTCCCGATGATTGACCAGACTTTGGCAGCCATTGAGGGATCACATTGTGTGTATGAATGTATATGTATATAAGTCCCACGCAAGTTGAGCTGTCGACAATAAGAACCACGGGTCGCAGATAAGCAGAACAGTGCTGCAACCCTGATTGTGAATGTTATCTCTCAATCTTTAGGGTAGCCTGGTTCTTACGACAAAGGAGCTCGCTCTCTCACCTACGCTTGTCCAGCGACACTAGGACATCTTTCACGTTCTGCGCGGCTTCGACGATCGCGCTTTGGCTTTCGAGCTAGTTGGGTCTTTGTCAGGTCTTCTCTTGCGCGTTGAGTTTCCCGGATCTGCCATGTCCCTCTCCTGTTCCAAGCTGCAATTGTCTGCTTCAACTTCTTGGGCGCGGCCTTGACCTGCTTCCTCTTCTTCTTTTTCACTTTTCCCCCCCTCTCCGACTTCAGCATCCTCTTCCGAGGCCTCCTTCCTCAGACTTCTCTTCTTGATGAGCTGTCTACCTTTGTAAGGCATTTTGGCCAGTTTCTTCATGAATTGCTTCTCCCCCAGCACCGGCATGATTGCAAGCTGTACGAGTGAGCTGGAAATCAAACGATTGCTAGTCAACCGACATGCATGAGTCGCAAAAACAAACATTTGGCCTTTGGCTTGGGTCTCTTCCGCGTCTGAATTCAGCTCTGGAATCCGCGTTCCCCGCAGGGCTTTCTTCTTAAGCCACTGGTGGCTTTTTGCGTCGGCTAGAGCCTCTGTCACTTAGGATCTGTTCACCGAGCTGAATTCCGTTGCCGTCCAAACAGGGATCCGGATGCATGAAAAACACCTGAACATTGCAACTTGTCAATGGCGGTGTTTCCATTTCTTTATTTTGGTGTTGAAAAAGCAACATGGTTCAAATGGTTGCGAAATGAATTTCTTAGGAGCCCTGCCAAAGCATCGACTCTTTGAGCTACTTGCCCGCTCCTTGCTGGTTTCTTTGAGGTTCAAGTCGGCTCCGACAAGGCCCACTTCAAGTCGGATAGCTCCAACTTCATGGCACCAGCGGCCTCTGCAAAGCGAGAGCTTGGTTTCTGCGGCGAACTCTGGGCGTCTCATCGCCGCAACGCCTCGCGCATCTCAACCGGAATGCTCGTTTGACCTAAACGGCCACATAAGCCAGCCCCAAGGCAATCGTTGTTTTGGGGAAGGCTGATGTTTCAGTCCCCGGACGGATATGATTCCTTGACAGGACTGCAGTGTCAAGTCTTGCATCGGCTGATGGGGGGGTTTCCTGTTTACCCTCAAGAACCGCAGGTTCAATTCCCAAACCACCAATGCAAACAACCGAGGGGTTCACTCAGAAAAAGAGTACAGCTGGGTACAACAAACGACGCACCCAACAAATTCTCACACTGGGGGCACGGCAGAGGGATCGTTGGGCGCATCCTCAGTGCAGGGCTGGGTATGCCAACCTCCTGCCCTTCCATATTTCCAAGAAAAACAAACACCTAGAGTCTCCATGACCCTCTAAAAAATGGGGTCATTCCCCCAAATAATGTGGCCATGGCCATGGACCTATTTGTTTAAAGGGTCATGGAGACTCCAGGCACGCACAACCCTAAAACCATGGTAAATTACTGCAGGGCATCCACTGTGCTGCCCCGAATCGTCAAAAAAACGGCCGGCAGCCTAGGAATGACAATCGAGGAACGACCGAATGCTAATCTGTGTATACATATCTATATATATATATATATGTATATATATATATCCCCACATACACCTATATAGACATATGTGTCTTCATATCTGTATTCTGCAGACCTTGTGCCTGGTTTGAGGTCAAATCATGCTGTATTTCTTGCTGACGCTGGATGATCTTACGCACAACTCTGCACAAATGCGTGGCTTTTTTTTTGAAACGGACACAATCGGCTTGGGGGCCGGCCCTTACATAGAGTCAAACCCATGCTGGTGTGCTTCCAAACAATAGGTCGGCTTTGTGCACTGCGCTGTGTCTCACGGATGCCAACTCAATATTGCATGCAACAAATAAGGAAACTTATTCTCAAATCTACCGTGACGTGGTGTCGTCTTCTTTAAACAAACACCCCTTTTGTTGGTGCATGGAATGCAATTTGAAAGGGAAACCAACAAGAAAACCACAAGAAAACCGAAGCCATGTTGAATAAACACCCACCCACTCACCACGGGTCTTGTAGTTGAGTTGCTTGGGCTCTATTTTGGCCATGGCGGCATCCCCAGATTCCAAGCTTTGGGCTGGCGGAGAGCTCTTCAAATCCTTCGAAGGTGCTTTGTTTAGCTTGCTGGTGCGAAATCGGCAGGGAATGAGTTGGAATGACCCTTATAAATGCCATCCAACTGCTGGTTTCCTTTGAGGGTACGCCTGGGTTTCCCACATTCCCTACTGAGCACCAGCCAATTCTATGGAAGACCTTCTCTCTTCCCTACTGTGAATGAACGACACCCGCCACCTGAGAACCTGTGGAATGACTCGATTCCCCTGTACATACCAACAAGGAAGAGAGTTGCAACCATGGTCTCAAAGTGGTGCGAAATGGGTTTCGTCCATCCACAGAAGGGAACACTACCAAAATTAGTGACTCTCCAGAAAGGATTCCCGCTCACTCCTTGAGAGTCCAACAAACAAATACCCCTAAAATGGTCTTCCCAAAAAGGTGAGTCCAGGAACTTAGGAGCTGAGACTGATCGCCTTTGAACATCGGGGCAGTTCAAAATGCAGAGATACCACGCCACCTAATCCAAGGGGGCCAGGACCTCAAACCTCCGGTCTGCCAATACCTTGTCGATGGGGATAAAACATATTCCTCCATTAGAACAAGCAAGTCACAGTTGCTTCAAATCCGCAAATCTTGGTTCTCCTTCAACAGGGCTCCCTATATTTCCCCTGAAAACATCTCACACCCACTAAGGGACACTCACCTTTCATGGGCCAAAAAGGTGATGTTTAAAACCGCCAAAAAGGGAAATATAGGGACCCCTGTTCAAAGGGGCCTGGTTGCCAAGGCCTTTTTGGTTGCAAACACTTGGCCCAAGCCTGCCGCAATTCCGCAAATCTGGAAATTAGAATGGCTGGGGGGGGGATGGCTTTCATTTGGTTTCCCCAGCTGAGACATACCTCAGTATCCAGACTGACTTTAGAACATGCACGCTTCTCATTTGCCCGGATGTTGGCTCATGTCCGACTTGCAGTCTGAAAACACCTACCCTCTCTCCCACCAACATGGCAGGGGGGTCCCTCCAAGAGGAAACTTATCTTCCAGGTTCCTCCACACAGGTGCCACGTTAGTGGGATTTCGGGGAAATCACTTCTTCAGCAAATATCTCACTGAGCGGAGACTTATCATCATGATACTTGGTTTACAAGCATGGTTACTAACCTCTTACCTGACGCACCGAATCGATCTCGCCCTTTGAAGAAAAGATTGACGAGACTACGTGTTTTCGATCGCGGGTGTTCGACGGCTTCTTCTTTTTTGCCCTCGCCTCTGGGAACCTTGACCAAACAGAAACCAACATGTGAGTCACAATCAAAACCCGGTATTAAAATGGTCGATCCCCAGAACCATGCTTCAAGAATTAAGAAGGCGGAACTCCGCACCTATTTCTGGCTGGGACTGCCCCTTACTAACCGGATCATCTACCCGAATCGGTTTTGATTGTGGCTCAACCGAATCAGCACCAATATTTTGTACTTAAGGGGTGATCGATGCACTTCACCCTACTCCACAAACCCGAAGACTTCACCCCTGGGCTCGGGTTCCGCTGGCGGCCCGGCCAGCGCTGCAAGCAGCGGTGCAGCGGAAACTGCGCCCAGCGCGAGCTTTCCGCCTGCGGCGTGGGGGAGAGGTGGCTGAGGCTGCACTGGGGGGGGAGGGGGCTGAAGGTTGGGGTTGGGGGTTGGGGGTTGGGGGTTGGGGGTTGGGGGTGGGGGGGGGAGGTTGGGTGAAGCACTTTAGACTGATACCAGAGCTCTGCCGAGTTGTCTTAGAGAAATTTTCCGCGGACGCATTTACGGGTACGAACATTTACGGCCCCGTGCATCATACGGGTTCAAAACTTAGACTTGCCTCTCTCCAGGTGATGGTGCCTGCCACAAAAATGGAACATGGGGTGATGACTTCCATTTACTTAATCCCCCTGGAAAAAAAAAAAAAAAACAATACTTCCAGAAGTGATAGGTTCCCTCTAAAACCAACAGGGGAAAATATAACATATTCTTGAGCAAATGCATGATGAGCGGCGCATTTGCTTTGCGCCTGCTGTTCAAAGGGAACATGTTGGGCCGACTTCGTTGGTCTGACTTGAGGGTTGGGATAGGAACACGCTACTCCACGGACCAGCACAAAGCAAACGTATAGCCCAGTACTCTGGATGGACGAAATCCATTTCGCACCACCCAAGAAACCCTAGAATCATGATTCCCCTGTAAATACCAACATAATGGTTTCCCATGGTTTCAAAGTGGTGCAGGATTTCGTCCATCCGCAGTAGGTCCAAGGTCTCCCAGGGAGTTCTGACATATGCGCAAAGTAAAACCACGGCCCCCACTCTGGATGGACGAAATGAATTTCGCACCAACCGGTAGGTGGTTTACAATAGTTTCTATTGGATTTTGAAAACCAAAGGGTCAAAACTACATTTTGGGGGCCCGTACTGTGGATAGTTGCGAAATCCATCCAATGCCCCACCGTTGAGAAACCCTGGCGCCTGATTCGCTTCCCCAATCAAATGCCAACAGACAATGGGTTCAACCAGTTTCCTTGGATGGTGCGAACGGATTTCGTCCATCCACAATATCAAGTTGCTTCCAAGTCATGCCGTCTCTGTTTTTCCTGCGACCTTTGGCGTTTTCTTTGGAGAGTGGCCTTCCCCAAGTGTCACGCGCTGACTTTGGCAACCACACCACCAAGCAATGCAGTCTCAGATCCCGAGCAGCGTCCTGTGCATATAGACATACATATATATATATATATATTGCTTTTGAACACCATCTGAAGCAAGAACAATGAGTCACTTTAGATTGGCTCCAAAAAGCGTGATGTTTCGAACCACCCATCAAGGAAACTTGGGTGTGGCTTAAAATTCAACAGCTGAAGTTACGCAAACGTCGATCTTTCTTCCCATATAGCAAGGCGCTATTTGTTTGGAGCCACACCTCTCGAAAGCACCGCCTTTCCCCACGGAAAGGTTGATTTCTGCCCGCGGGATCCGGTACCCTGGGACTGGACCAAACTCATCGCACGCAGGACGTTCACCCACCCGGCTCATGACCCCTGGGCCCCGGGCCCTCCAAAGAACCCGGACCAATTTTTTAGGGGCCTTTGAAAACAACCCATTTTGAGGGCCCAAAGAGCATCCGCAGCCTTAGGGCACCAGAATTTCGGGTTGCAGTCATAACCAACAACATGTTCAGGGAAGTTTGAGGCTCCAGGCACGTCTTTTTTGTTTCTTCATCTCCAACATCCTTCGGGTTATTTTGCACGAGCAATGGATGCACAGTGAAACCGCACCTTGCTCAAGCCTTGCTCACCCGAAAGAAAAAAAAAAAGTGTTTGGTCCCCGCGCGTTCTGCAGGACCAGGCCTCATGCATTTGGATCTCGACAACTTCACAGCCCAGTCGAAAATCATCAAACGACCCTCAAACTACCTAGAGTCTCCATGACCATTCAAAATGGTTAAATTATGGGGTCATGCTACTTTGAAAAATGGTGTCTCCTTCTGACCCGAAATAAAAATGGTGGGTCATTACCCATTTGATTCGGGTCATGGAGACTCTAGGTACCAATAAAGAAGGGAACTCACCAGAATGTTGGGTTGCAAGAGCCCACTTTGAAGGGAATTCCGAGTGTCCGGGAGGTCATTTATTGTCACTGTGTTTGCGGATAGGCATCGAATGGATTGCAACAACTTGTGGTTTACCACCTTTAGTGAAGAAAGGGAGTATGCTGCAAATCCCTTTTGCATCTACACTTTCACGTATGATTTTGCCACTATATCTTGAGTGTCAAGCAAATGAGAGCCTAGATTGCCGGCCAGAGTTCTTCGATGTTGCAGGTTGAATAACAGTAGCTGACACACTGTATACTGCCAAGGTGCACGTTTGATTGACTTCTAAGATATCGGGAGTCAAGTATAGTTCAACAAGCATGTGGACAAAAAAAAGTGCATGATATGTTCATATACATACAAATATATACATATATCCAATAGCTTGCCTTATTGCGGGAATATTTGCGACAGATCAAGGAAGGTGTTGTACACAAGTCATAGCCTAGGTCCTCCAGCAAAGAGGTTAGAATAGGGGTACCCTTTTTTTGTAGTCTATTTTAGTAGGGGAACCCTTTCCAAAAAAGTTGGTAAAAGGGCACCTAGCTGGGGGACCTAGTGCCAACACCTAGTGGGAAGTACTCCCTTGCTTCGGAACCCTCCAGGTCGGCGCCTCGAAAAAGAGGTAAGCCCCTGATCCTTGGTCGTCTTCTTCCTTTTGACGGGGGGCCGTGGAAAAAAACAAAGACGGGAACACGAAGCGGTGAAAGAGGTAGGTGTGGGGCAAGTTCTCAGAAGCATCCTTCGGGTATCTGGGAAAAACACGGGAGACCATCCACAAGCCAATTCAATCTAACCTAAAAGGGTGAGCTGAAACACACATACACCTATGGTCTGAGTATGTAGGGAAACCCTGTTTGGTTGGTTTTAAAGATTCACCATAACAAATGAACATCACCATGTTGTTCTGTGTTTTTGGGGGTTCATCAAAATACGACACACAAACACACACACTGTTGTGGAAATTGTCACCAAAGTAAGACACGCAAAAAACGCAAAAGCACAAACACACACACACACACATTCGTTTTCCGGGCCCGCGCTTCTCGCTGTAAAAGTCTTCAGCTTCCGGCCCGTCCGAGAGCTGCAGCGTCACCACGTGGCCTCCGGCGTCAACTTCGGCGCGAAAACTGCGGGAGTGTCACTTGAGTCATAGTCAACACCCACTCAAATGAGACGAAAACCGAAAAAGGAAAAAAAGGAACAAAATAATTTAAAAAAAAGTAAAGAGGTTCATTCCAATGGTTAAGCATTGACTAGTCAAGCTTGGGTTCATGTCCACCCGCAAACCATCCTCCTTCCACTCCACCTGCCACATCGAAGCGATTCTTCCAGATAGCCCACAGGGAAAAATGAGAAACATGAAAAACATCCCTTCAAAGCCAACAAGGGGAAATAACAGACATGTTGTTTGCAAGCGGAAGCTGTAGATGGTTGCGAAATCCATCCAACAAACCGTTCAGAAACCCAAACATGAAAAATACTGCTGTTCAAGCTATACCAAAAACAAAAGGTCTAGGGGTTAGCTTATGGGCCTAACACAAGAGGGCCACTTGAAACGTGAGGATGTCTGGTCACCTATTGTCGGGTATGCTGCTAACCCTGCACTATCAAAAGGAGGTATCCTTGCAATGCACCTTGCAATGAAAAAATAGGCCTCTGCAAGCTATACCAAAACAAACAGGTATAGGGGTATAGCTTAGGGGCCTATCACAAGGTGCCCGGGGCCCCTCCCCCCCTCCCCCCTCCCCCCCTTCCCCTCTCCAGTAGTGATAAATTCCAGCAGTTCAAACCAACAAGGGAAAATAAATGAACAAATATTCATTTCAGCAAATGGAAGCTATGAAATAAATATATTTAAACAAACAAATGGAAGTTCTGGGCCTAACACAAGAGGCCCAGCACCGAAAAAACCTCCGCCGACTTCCGCCTGCGGTGGCTCTCTGAGCCCAGGAGACGTGGCCGCGGGCCTCCGCCGAGTGCGGAAGCGCCGTGGCCGAGAGACGGGGAGCAGCCCGGAAAATGTGGGCTGTGGTCTTTTGACCGTTTTGGATCCCATTTTGGGGTAGGTGAATTCACCACCCAAATTTTAGAACTTGTTTTGGGATCCCATTTTGGGGGGTGCACCACCCATTTTAGAACCTGGTTTAGTGGTTGGATTGGGATGTAACCACTGGGGAATAACCGATTTGGATTTTGAAAAGCTCTGGCCATGTGTGGAAGAGGTTCAAAGCAGGGGAACCCGAAAAAGTGACATGTTGAAATCACAAAAATATATATCTAGCTTTCTTTTCAGTTCCCTTCGAATTTGGGTTCACTTGGGGAAATATATTCCTTTGACTTTTTTGGGTGCACTTGCAAAAATGTATATTCAAGCTGGGGCCTTGAAACTAAGTCTTCCAAGGGCTAGAGGGCACTGCTTCCAGAAGCTTCTCCTTCTCCAATGCGATAAGAAAGCCTCGGACCCATCATCGTCGCGTAGATGTTTGTCTAAAGGAGCCGTCTTTCCAACAGAATCCCATACCCCTGTGAATACATACATCAATTAATAAGTATCGTTTGGGCTCCAGAGAATACTGTGGATGGACGAAATCCTGCACCACCCAAGAAACCATAGAATAATGATTCCCCTGTACATACCAACAAACAACAAACAATGGTTTCCCATCCACAGTATGTTTGATTTGGAGGGGTTCTAAAGATAGGGGGAAGGGATTCGTTGAGAGAAAGGGAGCGCGCCAACCAGAACAGAAACATGTCAATATGATGTCTGAATAAGGGACCCTAAACCACACCCATTTCCGGAATCTCTTGGAGGATCCTGGGTCATTCCCTTCACATCCCCTGGAAAATAAAAGTCCCCCCGCCCCCACCGGTGTAGACAGGGCTCCCATTGATTTCCAAAACTGGGTCTGGCAAAGCCTGGTATGCAGCCAAGCAATGGCCACGAGCTAAGCAATGGCCACGTCCCCTCCGAGAAAATGCAAAGCTTTGCTGGATAAACAGCACCACAGAAACTGTTTCTGGGCAAACATGCCAAACCATTCTGGGTGAGCATTGGGTATGTTCTTTCTGGGTATGCTCTTCTTCTGGGGAGAAGATGAACTCTCACCAGCACCTCAAGGCCTGGCTGAATTTACCAAATCACGAAGCACCCATAGGTGAGCTCGCAGCTTCACCAAATGAAGATGGCTCGTTTTTGTTTTTCTCCTTCTTTTTTGTTCGGGTTTTCAAGGAACACCCAAAGGAATAGACGGGGGCTCCCCATTAACACTGATATGTTTCTGAGCCGTATTGGACGAATGAACGAATCTAGGTCCATAAATGGATCGATATGGGTGTGTCGGTTTTGAAGTGACCCCTTGTTTGGTAGTTTTACAGGGGAAACAGCAAGGAAATCCGCACCAAAAAAAGACACACCCATACTGTGGATGGACGAAATCCACTTCGCACCACTTTGAAACCACGGAGAGCCATGGTTTCTTGGCATAGGTGGCCTTTTGGAAAAATAGATGGGTTTCCCTGGTAAATGGAAACAACCCCTATCTAAACCAGGAATCGCCCTCTATGTTTTAAGCCGACCAACCAAAAAGGACACCTATGTTTCTTGGTATCACTGGACTCCTCCGAAACCTGGGTTGACTCCCAGGAACTGATTCCACGGCGGTTTGTTTCGCATATGTTTGAACTCACTTGCCCAGTTTGGACCTGGATATAAAAGGTTAAGCTTTTGGGGCCATGACTAAAACTAGATCAACAAGGAGAAACCAAAAAGTCAAAAGGTCGATTCGCTTTGGGCAAGTGAGTAAAGGGAACAAGGAAATCCATACCCAACAAAAACGACACACCTCAGATCCTGCTACCCAGAGGGTTACCTGAAACAGGGGTCGCCTGATTGGATGGTTTGGAGAAACTTTAAAGGGCACACTGCAGCTGCTTTTTACACATCATATTTTGTTTGAAAGGGGCACCAAAAAGGACATCTTAATTGGATGGTTTGGAGGCACCAAAACAAACTAGCTGTTTCTTTTTTGTTTTACATGTTGTATTCTAGTAGAAGGTAAACTGGCTATTTTTTACATGTTGTATTCTGAATTCTGTTATAAGGGACACCCAAAAAGTACTTCCTCGCCCAAGAAAACGACTTCCCCCCCACGGTGAATTGTTGGGCTCCCCGGCCGCGGAGAGCTCCAGGAGCTGGCGGTGCACGGTGCACCGGGCACGGAGCCTCAGGGACGGAGGGGGGAAAATCGTGCGCGCCGAAGACGGGGGGCCGTGGTGAGGTCAAGAATAGCTCCCCCCCAAAGGGAAACCAAAAACGGGGTGGGGTTGGGGTGGGGTGGGTGGGTGGGGTGGGGGGTGGGTGGGGTGGATGGGGTGGGTGGGGTGGATGGGGTGGGTGGGGTGGGTAACGAAAACTGGGCGAAAACGCGGCTGTGGTCAAAAAGAGGAACCAACTCCATATGTGTGGGGTTAGGCCTCCATTTTTTGTTTGGGGGGGGGGTATAGCCCATTTGTAAGGGAGCTGTGCCTCGTTTGTTTTTGTCGCCAGTGTACCATTGCCCAGATTGAGCTTGAGACCCGATGCAAAAGCCTCCAATCCATGAACCGAGTTCCATGTTAGTGGACAGCAACCTCCTCCCTGACTCGGTTCCCATATGGTTGCGATTCCCTGCCCTTCAACCACTCTTATGCAAATCAGCAACCTATTTTTCTCCGCCAGTTCCCATTGAGCAGGGCAGTGCGTTCTAGGAACATGATCTTGCTTCTTGTGAGGAGTAATGACCTACAGGGGTCCCTAGTGTTTCTATTACAAGGATTTGAGCATCGTTAGGTGTGAACACCTGATTGGAAAAAGGCTTCATAGGGAATGGCAACCACTTTCCCATACCCTTGAAGGTCCATGATTGAAAACAAGCCGCCAGTTGATGAAGCTTCAGGTGCCAGTGACAACAAGGCGATCTTAGCGCCGCTTGCAAGCGGCGCAATGGGAGCCCGGTTGATGTGGATGGGTGTCCCATTGTCCAACCAATAGGGAGGCCAAGGCTTCCCTGGGTGGGGAAACTCCCTTCCCGAGTGGGTTGGCCAAAAAAAGGTTTGAACTTTTTATTTAACACTAAAATGGTCTTCCCAAAAAGTTTAAAGTTCATGAACTCAGGAAGTGAGGAAACTAAGGATTGCTTTCCAGGTTGCGGGAAACTTGGGCTGCAACTTCCCACATCCAACGCGCCGTTGGCTCCCAGTCTGATCCGTTCAACTTGAGACGTTGGCCAATCCGCATCCTTGATCCCCAGAGTCCATCAACAGGGATCCGGAACATTGCAACTTGTAGATAATGGGTTCCCTTTATTTTGGTGTCTAAAAAGCAACATGTTTCAAATGCTTGCAAAATGGAGATCTTTTGAGGAGCCCTGAACAAGTGTGCCAAATCCTCCGGAAAAGGCAAGGGAGCTTCACTGCTGCGCCAACCGGAAAAAAAAAGCTGTTTGCGCGATCTCCCTTAAGAAAGGGCCAAGCGGAAAGTGCCAAATTGACTCGAGAGGACATGTCCTTCCTCCCTTCGTTGCCCGGTTCGTTCGCCTTCATTTGAGACAAACCTTAGGCACAAACTGAACAGAGTCTACCAAACCATGGCGTCCCTCCCCATGTCTACCGAAATGGACACATTTCTACCAAACCATGCGGAAAGTGCCAAATTGACTCATGCAGACATGCAAGCATATGCCCCACATGGAGACCCACTCAGGCTGGCACTGCCAATTGGCCTCCTCGGAGCCTTAAATCGCGATCCAAGTTTTGCTTTCGCAAGCCACGAGCAGATACACACGCGCGCGCGTTGCATATGTGTGTGTGTGTGTGTCTGTGTGTGTGTGTGGTTTGTACCATTGAACATTCAATGCTGATTCAGTGTGTGTGTGTGTGTCTTTGTTGTGGTACTCGCCTAGTCTCAGCGAGATCTCAGAATTAAAGCCTGATATTGAAGTGGGCTATCCAAACCCACGGAAAGAATCACAGGATATCGGATTCCGTTTGCGGTCGGGTCCAAGTACCTTCTAAGGAGGTACTTAGGCCCCTTTTACCCCCCAAAAGCCATCCTCATGAAGTACTTGGACCCTCTGGATCAACTAGAACCACCTCGCTGTGCAACAGAACTAAGACACGCCAGAGCTTCTTTTTCTAGATCCCTACAGCAGGTCTACGGCACGCTTGGAACCCCTCGTCGGCCGATGCGTCAAATAATATCCTCTTTGAAGATGGGCAAACAAAAACACATCGAGCCACACAAAGTACTTGCCACCAAACAACCCATTCGCCTTGTGGGACCCCTTTAAGCAAACAAAAAACATATGGCGACATTGGGGACCTGGCCCAGAGCTGGGCTTTGCCAAAGCGTTGCCGCAGCGGAAATCGATGGGTCAACAGGTTGCGATACCAGCCAGAGATGCTGCGAGTCAACGGGAACTTGGCCTTCCATTTGCGGATCCGCGCCCAGTCGACAAACACCGGAAAACACGGCCAGTACTGAAATCGATTCAATTGAAAACCAAGGAACAACTAGCAACAACAAAGATTCAGGAGCAAATGGAAGACACCTCTGCTCTCCTCACGTTGCCTATGTCAGCCCGCCGGAGAAATGGTCCCAAAACATAGTCTACCGTCTACCCCGAAACGTCGAAAATCCATGTTGCAGGGCAGAAGGGTACCATAGGGTACCATTTCCAAAACCTCAGATGCCCAGTGGCCATGGGAGAAATAAAAGGCTTTTTCTTTAAACAATGTTTCTTTTTTTGTTCTTTCGTTGGTTGAGTTTAAAGGGGACCCCTCACCAAGAAAAAGAAGAAAAAAGGCCGGAATCCACTGGGCAACAGCGAAAAACCGAACCACACAAGTGCCACCGCAGCATCGCATCCCCCGAAGCCCCGCGAAAAGATCCAGCCCGTCGATCCATCGCCATGGCGCTCCCAGCGAGGAGATCCAGCAGCGCCGCATCCTGAAAGTGATTCGAGTTCAGAAGCCGAAAGCAAATACATGCCAGGCAGTAGGAATACCTGCTAAAATTAGCAGCGAGGGTTTTGGGCACTGCTAAAGTCACAAGTGCATTGTGATGGTTCACAGGAGTCGTGCCTTCAACAGTGGGAGCAATAGTAGGGATCCTTACACCTGCATTGCAACTTGTAAATGGTGGTTTCCTTTTTTTTGGTGTTTAACAAGAACCGTGTTTCAAATGGTTGCAAAATGGAGATCTCTTGAGCCCTGAAAAAAAAAAGTGCAAAGGCAAAAAGACGTGCAGAAAGCATCGAGCCGGTGGATGCCCTGTCCAAGGGCCCGCAACTACAGCGCCCTTCTTGAGGTTTCAATCCACTACGCCTGCTATGGGGGGGTGGGTGGGGGGGTGGGTGGGGGGTGGGGGGGGTGGGGGGGGGTGGCGGGGGGGTGGTGGGTGGGGTGGTGGGGTGGGGTGGTGGGGTGGGGGGTTGAAACCGGGAAATCAGTCCGAGGCATGCTTTTTCAGGGTCGTAAGTGTGTCTATGGCATGCTCAAATGCCAAGTGGCAAAAGCACTAGGTGCCTCAAACGACCAAATCCATCCAAATCATTGAAAGCTCCCTTGGGTCCTTTTGTGAAGCCCTTAAACCAGTTTCGAGGTTTAAGCAGCTGCCAGGAAGAAGTTGGATGGAATTTTATGGTGGCCCCCAGGCGAACACATCAAGGTCACGGAAGGCTCTTGCTATGCTTCCCCGCCCCCAGGTCGCAAAAATGGGAAAACATGTGCCAGCACCAAAAGCTCACAAACACAAAGTGGATGAAACACTCTCATCTAAAACGTGCGGTCATAATGTTGAAGCTGAGTAACTACAGATTCACAAGTATGTAGACATGACAGTACAACCGTATGATAGACCGAAAGAATCTCAAATGGGTAGAGGTTCTCGTGCCTCAAGGCCGGAGCCCCTAACGAACTGCTGTCAAGCTCCCACAACTTTACCAAGACATGAGCTATAGTACTGCCTTGCGTGACACAAGGTTGAGAAGCATGACATCAAATAACACGGGCGAACACGCGCTACGAAATGAATATGAAGACCGTTTGTGCGAAACTAGCCGCGTGACTTATCTGCAAGCTGCCTTGTCAATGAGCAACAGAATCTGAACCTGTGCCCAGAGTGCACGAACAATGCCAAAGGTAAGTGTGTCAAAACGAAGGATGCTGGCTCTGTCTGCCAAGCTTGCATGAGATGTCAAGCAACAAATCCTTGCCATGAAGCGGACTGTGTAAAATCACTCAAAGCTGGGTCTACGCTTTCTTTTGCCTATATGCCTGACTAGGTCCTCCAGTAAAGAGGCTGGAATAAGGGTACCCTTTTTTCTGTAGTCTATTTTAGTGGGGGAACCCTCCCCCAAAAAAGAAACGGTGAGAAAGGGCACTGCTGGCGAACCTAGCTGAGCTTTTGTCTTTCGTATTTGCGTCATGTGACCCAAGTGTGACGTTTTAGCCTCTTTCTTGGGTTGTTGACACTTGCGGTCATTCGCCCGAAATCATAGTTGTCTAAATAAAGGCAGCGTGACAAGCCTTGAACCCGCTCCAAGCAGATCCGTTTCCATGCCACAATTTTAGTTTGACACTTAATATATATATATATAGTATATTGTCCATGCATGTGCATTTGCATATTTACATTCTGTGTAGACCAATATGCCAAGCTCACGTTTTGAACATATGGGATGCCCGGTATTCTTTCGAGTCCACCCTGCTGCCAACACGGGCAGGAAACCCGTTCCAGCATCAGGAAGTAAATTCCTTGCGCGCGACTGGACAATAACGAAAATGGCTGTCTTTTGTTGGGGAGCCCAACAAATGTTTCAGAACGAGGAATGAACATCAACATGTGCTGCTTGCAACGCATCCCTTGCATAACTTGATGGCTGAGGTCGAAGTAAATCAGCTAGGTCAGTAGCTGAAAGGTAGCGGCTGTGAAGTGAATACTGAAAACTGCAAGGCTTCCGTTCCTTTTGTTTAAACCTCCAAAAGGACTCGTTAGGGGAGACGAAACTCAGGGATAGTCAATACCTTGTCAGAACTCCCTTGGTTGCCTTCAATTCCTTTGGGGGGAATTTCAAAATCGCCGCCTTGATCGGAGAGGGTTCCATTGCCCTTGGACCGTGTCCAAGCCGTGCAAGGGTTGGGCAAGATGAACTTATAAACACTCATACCCTCTTCCATTTGTGAGAGCCCCGGGAAACATACAAAGGTGTCCATACTTCCAGCGATAAATTCCGTTTAAAACTACCAAGGGCAAACAAAACATATCTGGAGTCTCCATGACCCGAATCAAAAATGGATCCCCATTATTTGGGTACTGACCAACCATGTTTGATTCGGGTCATGGAGACTCCAGGTATTCCGATGCAAATGGAAGTTGTCCCCGTTCAAGCGATTTTTTTCTGTCGAACGCGCCCAGGTGACCCGGAAACCGGCCTCTTCCAAGGTCAACAGATGTCCAGCCACAGAGTCCCAACCTCAGGCGGGTCAACCTGTCTTTGGTTCATCTGGGGTTCAAGGCATAGCTTGGTTGACGTTGAAAGGGGAGCAACAATTTATTTGTTTGCTGTTAAGTGGTTGGATTTCCCACTAAACCACCATAAGCAAAAATGTAAAATGTTTCCCAACAACAACCATGATAGGGTTCTATCCGCAAAAAGAACGGTCGACTCAGTTTAGATGACTATCCTTAGGTAAAGAATGGTGTGGATGGGACGCGAAATCCGCGAGTCTCGCGCCACCTCAGATGAAACCATGGGAATGAAACCAGAACGTTGAATCAGAAACCGTTGGGGTTGTGTGTGGTGGTGGACGGATATCGCAGCCATCCACAGTACGGAGGCAGAACAAAAGGCCCGTGGCCAGTTCGAGAAACAACATCTCAAACCCCCAAAGCCAACTCCAAAGGCCCAAGTCTTGAATGAACCAGGAAGCAAGCACCATGGCCCACAAGAGCTCAGCTTTTCTCATTGCAATCAGGGAATCAGCCGGATTGCTTCCTCCCTGTCTAGGTCCTCCACTAGACTAGAGAGGCAAATTCTTTCTGTAGTCTATTTTAGTAGGGGAACCCTCCCCCCCAAAAAAGGGTTGAAGGGCACTACCGGGCGACCTATCTCTGTTGCCCTAGACTTGCAACCTCAGCAGCTGACTTGCAGCTCCCACAGCTTTCGCAAGGATGTCTGATTGGCGAATGGCAAAAGAAGCCGAGCAAAAGCTTCAAGCCCACCAGGTTGAAAAGTGATGTAAGTGTGTGGCTGCGGGTGCGTGTACATGTGCAAATAAATATGTGTGTGTGTGTATGGTGTGTGTGTGTGTGTGTGTGTGTGTGTGTGTGTGTGTGTGTGTGTGTGTGTGTGTGTGTGTGTGTGTGTGTGTGTGTGTGTGTGTGTGTGTGTGTGTGTGTGAGTGTGTGTGTGTGTGTGTGTGTGTGTGTGTGTGTGTGTGTGTGTGTGTGTGTGTGTGTGTGTGTGTGTGTGTGTGTGTGTGTGTGTGTGTGTGTGTGTGTGTGTGTGTGTGTGTGTGTGTGTGTGTGTGTGTGTGTGTGTGTGTGTCCGCGTTTGGTTACGGGTGGGTGCTACGGAAGCTAAGAAAGCAGGATGTGAAGAACATATTTTTTTCCTTGAAAAGGGCCCTTCGATCGAGGTCGTTGCGAGCGAAATGAAATGACCTTCAAAGAGAGTTGGCGGGGAACTTGAAAAGTCCTGAAACGGAAAGTGGAAGCTGGGGGCGACTCTTTCAAAGACCCCGCATTGTGGGTATCTTGTTTTTCGGATGCGTGCCGTGCTTGGAGTGCTTCCCCATGACAACAAAAAACAGTGTGTGGGTGCCCGCATTTTGTAACAAAACGGTATGTGTTGTGCAGTCTTCACACTATTCTATTTCGCTACCGGATATGAGGCCCAGGTACAATCAGCAGCTGAATCGTCTGGCAACAATACCCGTCATACAGGATCCACAAAGGATTATGGGCCTGGGTTGGGACTCCTTGCGCTTCCGAGCCAGGGAATGGAAAAAAGGGAATCGAACGGGTACAGTCGACTCCTAGGGGGGGCGGTATGTGGGGGGGGCTATCCATGTATAAGTCCAGGATTAGCCAAGGATAAGCCCCCAATAAGGCCTTAATAAGGGGTTCATAAGGGATAGCCCCCCCTCCCCATAGCTCCCCTTAAGGGTCCATGATACAGTGGCCGGAGACTTGTTCCTTATGACCACCAAATGCAAACGCCTCGCCAAACCCAAAACCCTCTTCCCTTTTGCTTTGTGATTTTGTGGGGGACATGTGCCTGTTCTCGCTCCTCAAACAATCGGTAGGACTTCGCTTTGCTGGATATTGCCTATTGCAAGCCAACCATGGTGAAGTACATCGCTTTCCCTGGCCCCTACCATTTTCGTGCATCCCGGGTGTATAAACATAACATACTTATATGTATATAGGTGTGTCTGTTTTTAGGGGACCCCCTAAATTGGTGGCTTCCCTTTTCGGCATCCCTTTAAAGAACACTCAACAAAACGGCGTCATCAAAAACACACACACACACACACACATTCAAGAACGCCAAAAACCAACGCCAAACCATACCAAACCAAACCAAACCAAACCCAAAAAAACTTGTTTTTGTCAGTCACTCAATTTTGATTTGCTCATTGCCCTACCTCCTCCCACCCAGGGCTTCGGCCATGGTTGGCCCAGAAGAGGAAGTCCGCCTTTCGTTCGACGAGCCAAGGTTCCAGCACTTGACTGCTGCAACACCTCACTTACCCAATGTGTACCCCAAAATAGAAGGTGAGATCACCTTTGGGGGCCACTAAGAAGAACACACAACTAGGGGAAACCAAAAGGTTCGAGTCCGGTCGATTCGCCTTGGGCAGGCAAGTGAGACTCGCATCCAAATTTCCACTTTTAGACAGACATAAACCCAGGGCTGCTCCTTAGGGAATCTTCCACCCCTGCGTTTTTGTGTACCGTGTAGTCAAAAAGTGGAACCTGCGCAATCGAACAACTTCCTGGGCCTTCAAACGTACCTGAAATTTCTGCCTCCCCTGTCAATCGGCTGGTTTTTGCAATTCGTACCTTGTTTTCTTGGCTTGTCCTCTTTTTGGGACCTCGAGCAGTTTCTTGGAGGCATGCGGGCTGTAAGGTCCTAACATGACCTACTCGAGCAGAAATGGTGTGCAAAAACGCCCGCAACGGCCCGCAAAACGAGCGCAAAAACCCGCAAACGAGCGCATTGTTTTTGTTTTTAAAAAGACATGATCGTTTGAAAATATACACCTCGGACACTTTTTCGTTGCTCGGGCAGAAATTGAAGACTCGGGCACAAACTGTGTGTTCGAGCAGAAAAAAAAGCGAGCAAAAACACAAGTGTCAATGGAAGGTCCAGGTTGTGCTGCAAACCCATGGAGCTGCGCGAGCCGAACTGGGAAGACCAAATTGAAATCAACTTCCCCAGATGCGCCCATGGCAACCAAACTTCTGGGCTGCCGTTTTTTAATGGCAACCAAACCCGAAAAGTGACGAAAGTCCAAGCTCAGGAACTCAGGGGAGAAAAGCATCAAGACGGCTGTTGCATTCAACTCGTGTGCTACGCATCCGTCGCAGTGAGCTCTATACGATGCCAGTCTGTGCAAACATAGACTCAATATCTAAGACGACTGGCCAACCCAAATCTGAACAGTTGCTTTCCACTGAAATGGTCTCCCAACTAAAAAGACGTCCAGAAACTCGCGGAAGTGTCGCTTGCCTGTTTGGAGGATCTGGCAATGACCCATGAACCGTATGAAGCTTTGACTCAACATGACTCAACATGGGCCAAACCGAAAAAAAAAAAAAAAAACAAAAAAAACATGTCGGCCTCCGCGAAGTGTGGATGTAACACAAAGCAAAACGATCGCCGCGTTGATGCCACGCCACTTCAAAGCACGACTTGCTGGCCAGTGGTCGCCGATCATGTCAAACAAGCGGGTGCCCTGACTGCAAAGAATGCCAGCTAGCAAACAAGCAAGCAAACACGCAAACACGCAAGCAATCAAGCAAGAAGTTGGGTTCACAAATAGCTCAAACAAGCATACTATGACTGCAAATATGCCAGCCAAAGCGTGGAATCTCACTCGATAAGGATACAGTTGGAGCCATGTTTGAAGACAGGCCAACGTGAAACGCGTGCCTCGAAAAAAGACCACGACTCCAGCAAAATGTAAGACCGCCCCACCTGCCTCTGGGTTCCAGGCTTCAGGGATGCCCTGACAGGCAGACGCCGTCAACATCAACGTATCACACAGTGCTCAAACAGCGCTGACGGCTTCACCATGTGGCCATGGCTCAAAACCAATGGTACGATTTTGGGATAGGTGCACCACCCATTTTTGAACCTATTTTAGTGGAGATTGGGATGTTCACTGGGGGTACGGCATTTTGACCCATGGCCATTTTTGAGTCAACTCAAAAGTGCTCCCAGCAGGCAACCACTTCGCCACATGTTTTCTTCTTCTGTTTTTTCCTTTTCCGGGGTTCAGTCGCTTCCCACGTCTGTATGCAACCTTGCCACAAATCCAGTGAGTGTCAATCAAAGACCCACGCGTGCCAAACAAACAAACAATCACCAACGTAAAACGACCCACGCTTGCCAACAAAAAAACAATCACCAACGTAAAGCGTGAAAAGCTGGCCTTGGATGTAGCAGTCATCGCAACCTCCATGTGCTTAACTGTCCTGGAAAAACTAAAATATATCCGGTAGTGACACATCCCCTTTAACATATATCCAGAAGTGGCACATCCCCTTTAAAACCAACAGGGGAAAATAGAAGAAACATCTTAATTTCAACAAATGGAAGGCTATGTTCATCTAACAGTATGTGTGGCTAATCAAGATCTTGAGCACACCTCAATAAATCTGGAGATTCCCTTTCTACGTCCTCCAGCAAAGAGGGTAGAAGAAGGGGGACCTACCTTTTTATTTCGGGAGTCGCATTGTAGCGATTTGAGGAGGTGAGTCTCAACTGATCCTCAAATGGATACAGGCACAGGCGTTCAGAGGTTGCTCTAGGGTTGACTCCTTGTCCATTCTTTTCAGTCATCGTTATTTTCAAAAACAAGCCATTGTTCCAGGGTGTTTTGGTGGTTTTCTAGAAAGTAGGATCCCTGGAAAAAATGCGGAAGATACCCCTAGAGTTGCTTTTGGTATGAAACCCGGGATTGTCTCAATGGCTATTCGGCGGCTTGGGTTCCGGCCTGCGGTGTGCCAGCGCCAGTCTTCTAAGTGCTTCGTCTATCAAATCCACAAACAAAGGCTGGTGCAGCCTGGAAATTCATTGCCTGGTTGACTGGTGGCAATGTGCTCTTTCAGCACTGGCACATCTGCGCGGGAAGCAGGGCTCTACATTTGCGGCACACCTGAACCTCAATTGCCCCATGTGTACACCGGAAACAAGAGGTGAGATCACCTCTTGGGAAACTGGAAATAGACCGAGATAGGGGAACCCAAAAGGTTACAAGGTCAAGTTTCGGGCAAGTGAAAAACTCAAGCCGAACAAAATGCGTGAGAGTCCTTCAAGGCACCGTACAAACTCGTGAGGACAAACGCTTTGGGCTGTGTCGAATCTGTGCTTCGCTTTCGCAACGACTCACCTAAGTGAACTTAGCGCAACGCAGGACATTGCGTCAAAAATTCGGAAACCTCAAAATGGGTTTCCCGATCGGTAACAACACAAGGACTGCAACCTGCGGTTCAATTCCTCGTGCATTTTTAAGTTTGACCTCCCCCTACCATAAGGGGGAGGGGGGGTCCCCCATTTGAATTTCTCGAGTCTTCCCCATAAAAGGGAAATCGGCTTCCAGAAATGGAGATCTCCAGGGGTCGAGCTCCCCCCTCCCCCAATTCCATATTCAAGAGGGTGGGGATATCTCGACCCACACCCAAATGAGGGGGGCCAAAAGAACTGCTGGAGTTCTCCCTGTGCTTTCCATGTGGGTCTGCCTTCTTCTCAGGTACCCCTTTGGTTCTGGCTTTCAGGGAAACCAAAAAAACAACAACTACCCATGTTGCGTGTTCTCTGAAAAATGACACATCCACGCAAACCGAATGTTGACCCGGATTAATCAGCCCCAGTTTGTTTCTCTGGGGGTGTTCCCCTCAAAAAGTGCTGAATCCCCAGCAAGAACCAGGGACACCCCCAGAGAAAGTTAAACTGGGGTTCAACCAACATTTGTTTAAGCCCCCTGGACAAGATCAACCATGTGCAATAGTGATAGATTCCCATTAAAACCCAAAAAACCACGGAACTTGCGCGAAGCTTTGTTGTTTCACCAAGGGTGGTTGCTCAAGAGAAACATTTTTGTGAGCCCTTCGATGGGGTTTCATCATTTGAGGGATACGCCCTCCTATTACTCGGTTGCTGTTGACCCTGCAAAAAGTTCAATTTCTTCTGGGCTTAATGGAAAACACCTCGCTTTCCCAAACAGTTGAAGTCTAGCATTATCCAATCCAATATTAGTAGGATGGGTTTCTTCCTCCGGGGTCGACCTCCATGCAATAGTGATAGATTCACTTTAAGACCAACAGGGGACACAAATACATATATATATATATGTATGTATAATATGGGTATGTATATATATATATATACGGTAACTTATATGTCAGGAACCAGCTTGGTTCCCGCTATAGCAGGGTCATAGAACTTGGTTCCAGGAACCGGGCCAAACAGACTTCAAACAGACCCAAAACAGTATATTTTGCGTTGCCGGGCTGTGCGAGTGGTGCATTCAGAGCCTTCAACAGGATTGTGGTGCTCAAAGCAATAGATGCAATCAATGAGGAGAATGTTTTCACTAAGTTCATAGAATTGTGCTTGGGACACACAGCAATCAAATCATGTTTGGATCCCGATTGTGCCATGTGTTCAATGCAAAACAGGTTTTGGGGGTCAGCGGATCCGGAATAGAAACCTCGCATTAGTTTTACCATGAGGCCTGCTGGCGTGCCAGGTAATGCCTGTTAACAAGCTGTTCGTGGTGCATATCTGCCCTTTGTATGCTGGGTGGGGAGTGTGTTACGAATACGCTTCCGGCCATATCCACTTGTCATTGAAAACTATTTTGCATGTTGAGTAGCTTCCTTTGCAAAATATGTAGGCTGCACCAATATGCTAGCAACATTTGCTAACATACCAGTATTGGTGTCAACGGACACGTTCCAAATGTCATCCACGAACAAAGCAAACGTTCGTCCACCATTGCAGGACTGCAGACATCAGTAAAGAGCGCTTTGTGTTATTTGCGCTGCGATCTCAGTTTAATTTTATAAGCAAATGTCCTGCTTCAGTATGCTTAGGCACTTCCCAGGTGGAGTACTGTCGAAAGGGCTACGCGCTGACAATAGCTGTTGTATTTTCGGGCCTTGAACCCCGCCAAACGCCTCACACATAAACACATCATACACTCATTACACTTAACAGCGCGCCCCAGCATCCAGCATGCAAGCTTGCACCGTCATCCTTGCTTGCATATTGTGGGACACTATAAGCAACATGTGTGGTCGACATCCTGTCATCAACAAGCACTTCCAGGAGACTTGAATCTTGCCCACGTGGGTGAATTATACAATTGTTGTCTCAATACCAGTCATGAATATCAGCAGAAACAAATCACATCGGTATTTTGGCGTTTGCACATGGAGGCTCGCTCGCCACAAAGCAAGATCTCTTGGCATAAGTGGTGGTCTATCCGTTTTGTGCACAGCAAGGTTACCAACTGGAGCGTGTTTGCATGGAAGTAGGTCGTGTAAATATAGGCGCAGGCGCCTTTTGAGCTGTGATTAGGTGAGCCATGTCCTAAACGTGTCATGATTTGCTAAGTCGTATCATGTTGGTTATCGCACATAGAATGATTTTAACCCTCTTCTGCGTCCAACCAAGACACGCGCAGCATCATTCCGTGGGTGTTTCCGACTATGGTGAGCTGTGTACAGCACATATCCCAGGGTTAAAGAAAAAACACATTCCCAAAACCCTACAACATCTTCAGCAACCACAGCTGTTTAATGTCCGTTCTTGGAGTGAATGTCGATGTATTGTTTGTCCAAAACAATGTTATATTTGGGAGCAACAGTTTTATATTCGGAGGCAACACACGTTTTGGGAGCAACAGTTCTATATTCGGAGGCAACACACGTAAATGCACATAGACATGTTACCCATCGAAGTGACTTGGCAAAACATATGATAACCGCAACTGCCTACAGAACACCTGCCAGAGTCACACAACACGCAACAAATCACATGCGCACACACGCCAAAAGAACCCTGCCCATACTTGCACATTGCGTAGCAAATGAGAAGCAGACCAAGCAGCTAAACACACATCATAATCGCACTCACGCATCACACACCAACAAACCACGCACACCCTTCATCACCGGCCAGAATCACACACCACGCGACAAAGCATACTCAAACTCTCCAATTGGCCACAATCAAGCACCACACAATAGATGATGAACATACCTGTCAACGAGCAGCCACTTACCGCACAACAACTCAGAAACACACGCACCAACTGAGTACCCAACGCCAACCAAACGCCCACAGCCAGCTACCACACAACAAACAAACATCCCATCCGCCAGCTGAACACCCGCCAAACTAACGAACCACGCAGCGAACTCAAAATGCACGGCCACCAACAGAAGACCCGCCACAGTCGCGTGCCCACAGCGAATAAAAAAGCACACAACCTTCCACACTCAAACACCACATAATTCACGTTCAAACACTCCCTTTGGATGAACCCACTATTTCACACACGTGATGAACACACCCGCTCACAAAGCGCCCGCCGCAGTCACACACTGCGTGACAAAGTAGGAACACACGCCAAGTGAGCACCCTGCACACCTACATGGCACACAACAAAATAATGAGCGGGCCAGCCACCAAAGTCACCGCGCAAAGGATGAACTGAACACGCGCCAACGCGCATCCGCCACAGTCATACACCGTGCAAAAAATGGTAAGCACACCTGCCAACAGAGCACTCGCCTCAGTCACACACCGCATTAACACATAACAAACAAACACGCCCACCAAACGCCAGCCATACTCACACGGTGTCACAAACGACACGCCCACGCCCCAACTGAGCACCCGCTAGAGTCACTCACCAGGCAAGCAAGGGCACTGGCACCACCCAACTGAGCGCCAGCTACAGCCAAAAACCACATAATGAATGAAAAAACACACTTGCCAACTGGGCACCGGCCATGCTCATGAAACCACACAGCAAATTTCACGCACGCGGGCCAACTGAGCAGCCGCCACACCAATACACCGCAATATATGAGCAACACGCCAGCGACAAACGCTATGGCAAGTGCTGGGGCAGGAAAACCTGCCAGCACAAGAAGGGCGAATCCGGAACCGTTAAAAAGGGCTTGGAACCGTTAAAAAGGGGGGTGGAACCGTTAAAAAAGGGGGTGGAACCGTTAGGTAGGGACCGGAACCGTTAGAGGGAAAATCGGACCCAAATTTGGTGAAAAACCGCGTGCTCCATGACTTTCATGCGGAAAACAATGCGTTCCATCATTTTTCCAGTACAATGGAAATTTTGGGTGAATCCAGTGTGAATCTAGCAGCAAATAAGCGCTGCGCCCGCTAACTGAACCCCCGGCAAGCTAACCCACCACACAACATGCGCCTGAAGCTCTGATCCCCTCCCCCAAATAGTCAGGTCAAGCCAGAACTTCCCCTCGAACATCAAACCTCAACCCTGCGCAGGATTGTGGGCACAATGGTTGTTGTAGCCCAAATTTCGGACTCAGCTGAATAGCCTTAGGTTGTTGCAATTGTGCCTGGGAATTTACCTGGAAACATGTATGATTTCTGGCTGGTAGACCGCTTTGTTGTTGGGCGTAGCCAGCTCGCTGCTCCGAAATGTCTCTAACGGTTCCGGCCTTTTTCCATCGGTTCCGGGCCCCTACCTCTCGGTTCCACCCCGCTTTTTCACGGTTCCAGGCTCCTTATTTTCGCAGTTCCGGATTCGCCCTTCTTGCGCTGGCAGGTTTTCCTGCCCCAGCACTTGCCATAGCGTTTGTCGCTGGCGTGCGTTGCTCATTTGTTGTGCGGTGTTTTGGTGTGGCGGCTGCTCAGTTGGCCCGCGTGCGTGAAATTTGCTGTGTGGTTTCATGCGCATGGCCGGTGCCCAGTTGGCAAGTGTGTTTTTTCATTCATTATGTGGTTTTTGGCTGTAGCTGGCGCTCAGTTGGGTGGTGCCAGTGCCCTTGCTTGCCTGGTGAGTGACTCTAGCGGGTGCTCAGTTGGGCGTGGGCGTGTCGTTTGTGACGCGGTGTGCAAACATGGCAGGTGTTTAACCTTGTCATTTGTTGCGCGGTGTGAGTATGGCTGGCTTTCGGCTGGCGTGTTTGTTTGTTATGTGTTGATGCGGTGTGTGACTGAGGCGAGTGCTTTGTTGGCGGGTGTGGTTATCATTTGGTTTCGCGGTGTATGACTGCGACGGATGCGTGTTGGCGCGTGCTCAGTTCATCCGTTGCGCGGCGCCTGAGGCTTATCGTTTGTTGTGTGCTATGTAAGTGTGCAGGGTGCTCAGTTGGCGCGAGTTGTTCTACTTTGTCGTGTGGTGCTCACTGCGACGGCTGCTTTGTTAGCGGGTGTGTTCATCACATGTGTGAAATTATGGGCTTATTCAGAGGGCGACTTTAATATGTATACTGTTACTGTGGTGTTTGAGTGTGGCTTCTATTTTGCTCTAGGTACGCGAGTATGGCGGGTCTTGAGCTGGTGGCCGCGCATGTTGAGTTTGCTGTCTGGCTCGTTAGTTTGGCGAGCGTTCACCTGGCGAATGGGTTTGTGTTTGTTGCGTGGTCGCTGGCTGTAGTGCTGATGGTTTACCTGTTTGATGTGTGAATGTGGTCGGTGTTCAGTTGGCGGGTGTGATTACGTTTTGTTGTGTGGAATGTGATTGTGGCAGGTACTCAGTTGGCGCGTTTGATCGCGTGTGTTTCTGACGTGTGGTGAGTGGCTGCTTGTTGGCAGGTATGTTCATCATGTATTGTGTGGTGCTTGATTGTGGCCAATTGGAACGTTTGAGTATCCTTTGGTGCGTGATGTGTGGTTCTATCAGGCGATGAAGGGTGTGTGAGGTATGAGTGTGGTTATGATGGGTGTTTAGCCGCTTGGCTTGCTTCTCATTTGCTGCGCAATGTGCAAGTATGGTCGGGGTTCTTTTAGCGGGTGTGTGTGTGTGTGTGTGTGCGCATCTGATTTGTTGTGTTGTTTGACTGCGGTGGGTACTGTAGGCAGGTGGGGTTATTTTTTTGCCCGGTCACTTCGGTGAGTAACATGTCTACATACATTTACGCTGGCTGCCTCCAAATATAAACTTGCCATGCAAATAACTGAATGTTGTTGTGAGGAGCGGCATTAAACAGCTATGGTTGCTGTAGAAGGTTTTGGGCCTGTGATATTTAATTATTGCCCTGGGATATGCGCTGACACAACTCACTCTAGTTGCGGCGCCGTCTTTCCAAACTCCACGGAACAATGCTCTAAGAGGGCTAAGTTTGTGCTATGCGCCATTTGGATTTCCGAATGTAATGGACCCCGCTAATATGATTTTAGCAATAGTGCGCAATCGGAACAAAGACTGGACAGCGACCGCTGACTGCTGTTTCCTTCTCTGAGGCATAGTGGCTGCAAGTAGACGGTTTCTGGTTGCCCGACAACGCGAATTTCTAGCATGCAAATGGTGTGAAGTTTGCCACTGGCAAAATCCCCTGGAACACAGGGAAAAGGCGAAGCGGGAAAGGAAAGAAGCAGGAACCCCGACTCACTCAAGCAAAACCCGGATTAAAACAATCTCAGATCTCAACCTGTCCCACGCGAGTCCAAACTCAAATTGAACATATCCTAAGCCAATCTTGAACTCAATGTCGTCCAAAACCAAAAAGGGTTTCGGCGGCCCTTAAATCAGCCCTAAATTAGCCCAGCACCTACCGTAAATCAACCCTCACCAACACTGCGCCGACCCGCGCGCAAGCTCAGGCGGCAGCATATCAACTCTCAAAAAGGAACCAATTTGCCCCCCTACGCTGGTTACCTAAAAAACAGGTAACCGGCCCTAGTTCCGCCAAATCTGTCGCTGGAGCCCAGTTACCCACTATACAAGTAACTGGGAAGCGCTGGGATTATACATACATACAAGGCAAACCAAAAAAGCAAACTTCAGCCCATTGACGTCAAACAAAATAATCAGTCAAAGGGCCACCAGTTCTGCCCCTTCCCAAGCTCCCCAGCGCCCCCGACGCCCCCCCCCCCCCGCGCAGCGCGCGCCTGGCCCTGGCGGTGAAGCTGCAGCACCAGCTTCAAGCGCAGCACCGCGGCGCCCATGCAGCTCTCTCCTGCGACCGACGTCGGGGGTTGGTTGGGGGATGTTGGTTGGGGGAGGTTGGTTGGGGGATGTTGGTTAGGGGGGTTGGTTGGGGTAACTAATGGAACCAACCAGGTTTCCAGGTCCCAGGTTGCGACCCCAAAGAAAAGGTCCCCAGTCAACTTTCTACGTAACTAGGGGAACAAGGGTTTGCATTAAAAGTAGGATTTTCGAGGTCCACCCAGGGCTTGGGCTTGCCACCCCCAACGCAAGGTAGGGCTTCCATTCATTCAAGGGCTTGGCTTGCCTCTGAACCCCCGTCGAGCTGCCAAACTGGAGTTTTTAGTTCCCGGGGTTTCTAGACCAAGGTCTTGCCAGCCTTTTTGAAAACCCCTGCAAGGACGCGGTCTTAAACTTGCAAAGCCCAAACTGGATCTGCATTGGTTGCACTTGGCCATGGGTCAAAATCCAAATCGTACCCCCAGTGAACATCCCGATCCCCACTAAAATAGACAAAAATGGGCGGCGCACCTACCCCAAAATGGTACCATTGGTTTTGACCCACAGTCGGACGAGTGGTTCGGATGGTGGCTCGGACTTTCTAGGGGGTCCTTGCGGATCGGTACAAGGTTGTATGCTAGTGGATTTTGGATTTCCTGTCATGAAAGAATGGCCTTGGTATGAACTCCCACTATTTTCATTGTGGTTTGAGTCCCAAAAAATTGGTGGTTTGGGGAATTGAACCCCTGTCTCTTGTGCAGAGCAACTGGGAACACCTCAAACTTCACTAACTTCAGCTGAAGGGACGCCTGATCGAAGACGTGCTCGTGGCTGCCAGGGTCCTCGGCGAGGAAGGGCTTTGTGGCAGCTTTGCCCAAGAGGCATCCGACAGGCTTCACCCCGATTGTGCAGCCTCTATCGTAAAAGGCATTGCTCCAGTCGGCAGTGCAGTACACAGCAGCGGGGCTGCAGCCCCTCGAGTTGCTGATTTGTCTGGAGCGAAGAATGCTAAGCGCCTCGTCAATGCCTGTGCAGTGCCAGAGCAGCTCTGCATTTGTTGCAGGTTGGGAGCCAGGACGAAACAAAGTTCAAAACAATTCTCACACATCCCCCAATGGTCCAACAAGGGGCCCTGATCTCACTTTCCCTGTGTGGACACCAGGTGATCACGATTTCTTCACCACCCTTATGGTAGCGAAAGACTCGGCTTTTTGCAGCCCCCCTTCTCAAGATGAACAGAACCCCCCCCCCTGAGAAACAAAAAACATTACCAAGAAGAGTGAAGGTTTTGGGCCCTGACTAAAAAATGGACCTGCACACGGGGAAACCAAAAGATTAGATCCGGTCGATTCGCTTTGTTGCAAAGGTTGGCCATTTGCATGTGCGCCTGGAACAAATACAAGCACATCCAGTAGCGGTAGATTCCCTTTAAAAAATCAACCAGGTTTTTGTTTTGTAAGAAAAACATAAGTTAATGGTTTTGCATATGCATATTCATTTCAGCCACTGGAAGTTGGTGTCCCGCAGGCCCACCTTTTTGGGGGTGCCACAAAAAACGCGGCTGGACCCTTCCAAGCGCGGCGAACGCCCGGAACGGGGGCGATCCTCGCAGGGCTGAGGTGATCTCCTCCCAGAGCAAGCACCTGGCGATAGGCCGCCGACCGAAAAGGACCCGCGATCCGACCGTGGTGGGTTTGGGGGAAGCGTTCGCCAGTGCTTGGCAGGCCATAGGAAACTAGGGCTACCCTCGGCATAGGTGTCCATTTTAGGGGAAATAGATGGCCCTGGCAGATGATTAAATTCACCAGGTTTTCAACCAGGGCCAACCATTTTTCTAGCAAAACAACCCAAAATGGCATCTATGGTTGTGGGTTTCAAGTGTTCCCTGCTTGGCAAGCCATACGCAACTAGGCCCCTGCTTGCCCTCAACCGGCATACGGCCCGAGGAAGCGGAATGTCAGTGGCAGTGGCAGCAGCAGAGAAACATGGAGAGTCAAGACAGTGAATCAGTGGCAAACATGTTTCTTTAAATATGTCACATAAAGCTGAGTCCTCTTTCTGGTTTCAGATCTATTCCAGCTCATGTTGACTGGCAGTACGCCAGTTTTCAATCACCTCAATACCTGCGTTGATTCCGCTGTGAACAATGAAACAGCACTTTAAAGGGACCTGAAAGGAGAAAAAACACAGAGTTGGCTGAAAAAACTCCCATTGCTTCGAAAAGTCTAACTTGCCTCACGGAAGCCGGCGGATTCGCATGGAAAATGATGATTTGTCTGTTGACTCCGCGCGAAGGTAAGCCCCTTGACACAGGGACAACCCAGGGATTCCCTAGTTGGGCGTTCCCAAACGTTCCAACCCTTGGCATGGTGGAAAATACTTTGCTTTCTCGCAGCCCCCCTGCTAAAATTGAACAGAACCAAAAAAAATAAAAATCTAAAAAGATGGCAGCATCAGCAACAGTGAAGCAAACAGGTGTTTGAAACCAAAGGGCGAATTCAGGAACCCTGTTAAACAACCACCAGCTACAAATGGAAGAAACACACCAAGAAGGCGCTCCCTTTGGTGGTTTCTTTCCTTTGACATGGAAATCGCAACAGCCCTGCAAAAGACACAAAAAGACACACCCATATGGATTTTCAGTTGGCTCAATGTGACAGGAGGCGGAGACGAAAGATCATCGTTGTCTGCATCATACAGCTTGAACAGCTTCCATTGCTGAGTTCCTTCTTTGTTGGCGGACCACCTCCCCTTTATGAGGTCTCACGCCTGCCGAGGCTTGCCCCATGCTCAGCTGAGGAAAAACAAACCACTGTCAATCAAGTGCATAATGTTGTCTTCCTCCAAACGTTTATAATCAATAGGCAATTCCCCTCTCACCCATGAAGCCTTAATCGCTTGCCTAGCAGCCTGCGTGACATGCCCTCCAGGCAAGTTGTAGTCACAGGACAGTTCACGTGCTTCGAAGCTTAGATAACATTGCGCACTGCACAGTTTCAAAGCCAACAGCTTTTCGTAGCTTTTCTTTTCAAGTGGTGCCGAAACATTGCCTGAAGCAAGTCACACCTTCACAAGACTCTTGGTGCAGCTCCGGATCGATGTGAAATTCGGATTGGACTCTTCACTTGGCGCCGCGGCAACGAGATGGGAACAAAAATTGAAGCCCCGCCGCTGCGCTGCGCCTCCCCCTCTTTGAGCTTCTCACGCGGCTCTCTTTTTTTTGACAATAGCCCTTGTTTGGCGGCTTTCCGCGGAAACCAACAGCAAAACCACTTTTTGGGCGGTCCCCTAAAAAAAAGCGATGCCCAGCTTGAGCCACTTTGAGCGCGCTTGGGCCCCCCACTCCTCCGGCTGCTGCGGCAGTCCAGACGCTGTGCCTCCAGCGTGCAGCGAAGGCAAGGGACTGTCGTGTCGGGTTGGCGATTTTATCTCAAACATCCCTCCTACCCTGAGGCCTTCACATGACTCCCATAGCTCGAAATCAGAGGTGGGCGTGTCGGTTCTTGTTTCTTGCGATCGGTGCCAGAAATCAATGCAGGGCACGAGAATGAGGGAATGACTGGAGGAATGACCCCGAACTAAACCTTCCGTTTTGGTGTTGTTTCAAAAAGGGGACCAAAGCCTGGGACTTCATTCCCACATTCCAGCTACTTATCGCACCAGCAAATCTATCTCAACATCCCCTCCCTTGGGGAGGGGGTGGGGCTCAAGATCCCCCAACTCTCATTTTGTTAGTCTTCACAACAGGGAGAGTGAACTGCAAACGGACATCTCCGATTGTCGAAATCCCCCCCAATTCCATTTTTATCGGCGTGGGGGTATCTTCACCAATAGGCTGTCTTTGTTTCTCAAAAACATGTTGGGACCCCGCAGGAGGTTGGTGTCCATTTTGGGGCCATCCAAAAAGGGGACCGAGTTCAAGGAACACTCCATCGGGGTGAATGCTCGGCTGGCCGTCTGCTAAGAAAATATTTTGCCTTTGTTCCATGGCGGCCGGGGATTAGCGCGGGTACCAATGACCAGTGGTCAGCCAATGACACTAACAAACTGCCCAGAAACATTCCAGACGTGGAAGAAGCTGGAAAAGCTGACCTGGAAAAAGCTAAGAAAGGTGACCTGGAACAAGCTTAGCTGGCAAAAGAAAACTATCTTGTTTGAAGGTGACCTGAAAGACACTTAGCTTCGGTTTTCCCAGGAGCCTGGGAAAATCGAGAAACCCCTCGTTGGACTCCTGGACTGCGTGAAGGTCCCTTTGACTGACGCTGCAGTTCACGGACGATCGTTTGTCATCACTTTAAGACCTGAGTTGAAACCAATGTTTCGTTCGGTATCCACGGGAAAATCGAATCATCCCAGGGTTCCTTCGGTGCAGGACTTTGTGCATTCACAGCAGCTAAGAATTTGAGGTGTAATTCTGAGCCCAAGGGCTGCTTCAGGCGGATTGGGACGGGGGTGTATTCGACCCGCGATTGGACAAACAAACAAGCGGGGATACGGAGGGAGCCGGGATATGGGGGATTCCAGGCGCCATGTCCCCTCTCAAGCATAGTCAAGGTGCATTTAGGGGGAATCCTCCCGTATTTTTGGTTCCCCCTCTATCCCTGCAAGTTGGGTCCTCTGGTTGCGTCAAGTCTCTTTCGACTCCGAGTCGAACGGATTGTTTTTGACAAGTCAGCTAAGGCCGCGACACGCCAAGACACCACTGCAGGCTTCACCTGGGACCCACCCAAGCAACCAATCTGGACCCAGACCATGAAACATACGTGGCAACGCAGGACCCAGAAACAAAATGGCGCCTGAAAAGCAGGCTGTGATTGCGAGACATCACATCTGCCTGAAAGACCTGCCTCGGACAACTCACAAAGCAGGTCACCCAGGAATCTTGCCCAACATTCGGAGGTTGAAAAAAAGGTCCTTTACATGGGATGCCCATGGAGGAAAACCAATTAAAATATAATATTTCCCGCTAACTGGGAAAAGTGACCCACGATCATTTGGGGGCCAGGAATATTGATCAACCCCCATTTCAAAATATTGAGGAACACTGACAGTAGTGCGCTCTATTTGATGAGAGTCCAGGATCTAAAGGATGCGACTCTCGACTCATTGTGCTTTGCAAGGATGTGGCTTCAACAAGTGCCCTCTCTTCGCATTTTTTCATCCGGCGAAAGCCAGCAAGCCTTCTCTTGCAAAAAGTCATTCTAGAGTTCAGCTGAAGAGGGGACACCTTGCCACCCATGATTTGCATCTGGGTATGCTTCGAAATTGACGTCCCGCCAAAAACGTAGGTTGCCTTCCGGCTTCCCATCCTTCCCCAACCTGACGGATATCAACCTAGTTCTTGCTCGAAGCCTTACTCGGATCAAGCCGCTTCGCCTTGACCCTTCCCACTCATCAGCCAAGCTTTGATTGTACGCCATGGGGTAGAAGGTATTTGGGCGTGTTGATTTGTTTTGAGGGTATCCTTTTTGTGGGTTTGAAGGGAAACCAAGAGTGGGAGAGTCAATCCCATTGGCCATCCCTGTTTTTGGTCAACCCCAAAAGTGCCATGGCAGAGTGGTAAAGAGAACTCCTTTCGCCAAATGGAAGGATTAAGAATTGCCATTGACCAAACAATTGCTGCAAAGTTATCCATAGGAAGCTGAGGATGCCTTTGGCTATGTAGCTTCTCCCCCTTTTTCCCCAGAGCCCCGAGGTCTGTGACAGGCGAAAAACGGAATATCAACACCAAAACCGGGGAATGGCAAGTACAAGCCATGCCACACCAGAACCAAGCCCGCATGGAAGCACCACAGGCGTGAAGTCACGAGGCTCGAGTAAAGCCACAAAGTCAAGAGACCTTTTTACTGGGACACACACAAAAACACTTTTGGACAGCAACATGGGCACGTCCGAAAAGCATCTTTTTAGATATTGTGTTGAAGGGTTGGGACACGGGAATCAGCATGAGACACCACCTCAGCATGCCTTTACCCAAGCTCTGGGACATTCGCTTGGTAACAGGACTGCACGGGGACACCCGATCAGGACGGCTTCCCAAAAACAAACGCACAACACGGGTCGAGCACAAACACACGGGGGACCCCAACAAAATGGTCATAGCATGCCTCGACCCAGAAGCGCTGGAATCTGGGTTTGGTCGCAAAACTGCCATGCGGACACCAAATCAGGACGACTCTACACAAGAAGGGATGACTTAAGGGATGACTTGACAAGCATCCTAGGTCCTCCAGTAGAGAGCTTAGAAGAAGGGTACCAACTTTCTTCTGTAGCCTATTTTAGTAGGGGAACCCGAACCCCCCGAAACAAGTTGGTCAAAGGGCACCAATTGCTGGGGGACCTAGCGTCTTTTGGCTACCCCCCCCTCCCCCACCTTGTAGGTTCAAATCCAAATCCAAACCAATCCAAACCACCAATTGAGGGTAACCTGACAGGTAGTCTCAACCCTTGCGTCTGCATCGCGCGAAGGACAAAAAATGACAAGAAGAAGCTCACGTGCCCAGTTTTTGCACCCCCCCCCAAACCCCCGAAATGGCTTTCGAGGCGTCCAGGACCCCCAGCAGAACATCTTCCGACAGATGCGGAGCAGCATCACGTGGAGCCTCGGCGGTAAAAATCGGCGGCTTGGTGTGGTGCAGTGGCCCACCGGCCGAGTGGATGGCCCCCAAAAAGTAACCGAACTTTTCTCTGTACCACTAAAATGGTCCAAACCCAAAAAGTTTCAAAGTTCATGAACTCAGGAAGTGAGGTGGAGTGGTGTCCCGTCGAGCCTGTGCAAGAAGCAGGGGTTCAGCTTGCCTCTAATTGGTGGCTTGGACTAGGGGTGTGGTGCTGAAATGGAGTAGTTGTTCCTTGAGCAATGAAAGGTGATCACCTTTTGGAGCCATGACGAGACCAACATGGGGAAGACCCAAAAGCTTACAAGGTCAGCTCTGAGAAAGTGAGGAATATAAAAACCTTCTTGCACTTGCCTGTGTAGTAGGAAATCAAGGGAACCCCGTTGGACACCTAAAAGGATAAAGCAGGAGGGTTATCAGCTGTAGTAGCTGTATCCACAACGAATATTGTGCGACTGAGCTCACTTTTGGCGCTATGTGCGAAACCAATGACGCAGAACGAAACGGTTCTGCCGCCTTCTTTGGAGCGCCCTTGTTTGCCGCGGTCAGAGCCGCGAGGGAAAGGAGTACATTACTCCTCTCTACGTGGATGCGGGTTTTCAGCCCATTGCCGGGAGGAAGCATAAGGCCCGCGCACCGCAAAAACCTCTTAGAACCTTTTTAGGGGTTCTTGGAAGGGTCCTCAGGAACTCTCTGAAGGGCGGGTGGGTGGGTCGGTCGGTGGGTGGGTCGGTGGGTGGGTCGGTGGGTGGGTCGGTGGGTGGGTCGGTGGGTGGGTCGGTGGGTGGGTGGGGGTTGCATATCTCCTTAGACCGTGCCGTGCCGTCATGCATGAATCTCGGCAATGTCTTGAGTGTCGAAAAGCACTGGCTTTAGGGGGGTCTACCCATTGGACAGTTTCCGAAACGTGTGTGGAGGAAAAGGAATCCCAATGCAGAGGGGAGCCCGTAATGGCAGCAATGACCGAGTCTCTGACTCTTTGCCTAGTGCCAAATAAATGTCACGCGCAAGACTGTCTGTTTTGCGCGTATCTAGCGGTCCCTGCTCCAAGGATGCGCGCCAATCACATTACATCTCAGATGCCGAGTGGCCTTTTAACGCTTTGCCGTTAATGCATCGGAGCTCCAATGCTGTGCTCTGACCCAGCGGTATGCGTGGCCAGGGCACACTGTCACTTGATGGCTTGTGCCAATGAAACTCAGCGCCTATGGCGCCAAGGTAAATGAAAGGGCCGGAGTCGATCTCCAGACCAAAGGGACTCTGCCAAAAACCTGCAAACGAATTAAGTCCGGATGGGCGAGATGCTCATCTCCTGGCTTTCCTCCACTCATTCACATTGCGCACTCTCACTTCATATGGCTGCCACAACTCCCCCGGCACAGGGTCAGGTGAGCCCAGAGGCAGGTGTAGAGAACACGTGAGGTTCCTACGGGTTTCCCTTTCACCTTTAACATACATCTCGAAGACACGCAGGGCCTGGTCACCATGCGTCAAGACGGGCCGACAGGCCACTCCTGCCGCCTTCAAGGCATAGCCCACAGCTGTCAGGGACCGGGCCCGGTTGACATGTGGAGCCGGCCACAAAGGAGTCTCCAAGTTGGTCTGAAGCCAATGTATGGTTTTGTGCCAGGTGGCGCTCTGGGTGGCAAGGTCAAGAGGCGCCAAATCGGCCTGCATGTTCTGATCTCTCAGTTCCCACCTGGACACCCCCGCCACCCCAGTCTTGGAACTACAAAGGCAGACGGGGGCCCGGCTATTGGTGAACAAACAGAAGTCAAGGTAGAGCTCAACATAGGTGGTATCTTTGCCACACCTGCAGGCAGCCGGCCAGCTCAGGGCCCTTGCCCACTCAAGGATCCTGAAAGCAAAGGCCGGGTGGAAAGGGCATGCAAGAATGGGTTCATCCTGGGCACGGTTGCAAACTTGACAAGTCTGCTTGGAGCGTTCTCATCTGAAGGCCATCTTTCCTTCTTTCAGCCCCTTTCGCCAAGTGCAAGTCTGCAGTCTTCACCATTAGTTCGTACAAATTACTCAGATGTACCTTCCTGACTTTCCGTCTGGTAACTGCAGCATTGGCACGTTGGAGTTGGCGATGGCAGCCATGCTGGATAGCCTGCTTGGCATGGTGATCAGCCCAGTCATTGGCAAAAGCTTCCCACTTCAGCTGTGCCGTTGGTGCCTGTGCCATGTTAGCATGCGCCTTGGTTTTCCTGATCTGGACAACGGCTCCCTGCTTGCGCTTCAGGGTGCAGCAGATCGCTTCCCAAAGATCCGCATCACGTGCTTTGACAGGCTCCCGTGTCTGAACAGAATTCAAGGCTTTCTCGAAAAGCTGAACAGCGGCCTGGCAGTCACAATAGATGGTACAATTTTCAAACATACTGATTGCAAGAAGGATGGCATAAACTTCACCACGGTAGCTGTTTTGGAAGGCACCCGGTAAAACTTCCCCAAACGCAAAAAGCAGTCTGCATTCAGTGGGGTGAACCTGAACCACTGCTGAGGATGCAAGCGCCGTGTAAGGGCATGTCTGATTGAAAGCAGACCCATCCGTAAAAACCTGGCACACACTGCGACCATTAGCAGTCCGCTTCTGCTCAAATCGTGTCCACAAGTCAGAGGAGAGGGTGGCGGGATCTGGCAGAGTAGGGATGTGCGACTGAATGTTATCCAGCTCGGGATCCCAGGGACACACACCAAAATATCGGCATGCTTCAGGCCAATGTGCGACCGCGCGCACAGAGTCTGCAAACTCATTCCGTATGGCCTGGGTAGCAGGGCACTGGAAGACCCGATGCAGGCGACCGTCAGGTTCACCACACAAGTCACATGTTCCGTCACATCCAGCTATGTAATTGGCTAGGATATCACTGGTATAGTGTTTCCCTGCCAAGCAGGCAAGGATGATTGCCCTTTGTCTCGGCGCCTGAGATTCTAGAACCTGGGAGGTCAGAGGCGCATCGAATGCAGTCACGTCGAAGTGCTTCCTGCCTGCACACTGTTTGGCGACATACTTGTTCCAGTGAGGCCACAAGAACTTCTGTAGCAGTTTTGGCGGCGCGTGCACCCAAGCAATTTTTTGTTGCCTATATTGGATAAACAGGCCATCATCACTGGTGGTGCAACCTAGCTCCCTAATAACATGAGCCAAAAAGGCAACAGGGCCTTTGGGCTTTGTACCGGGGTCAAGGGCAAGCCTGGCGAAAACACTCTGTGCTCGATGCGGGAAAGCCATGACATACCGTCTCCAGAAACGGATTCGCTGCAGCATGGCTCTCCATTGGGGGTCGAGGTTAGTGTCTGCAGCATTGAGGGCCAACCACACATTGGTGCCATGTCCTGCCCTGTTAAGGGCTCTGGCAACCGCAACTCTGAGCGAATGGGTGGGCGCCTTGCTGTGCGGGACAAACTCTTCACCATATGCGCTACAACCCAGGCCAGCAGAAACAGCAACCGTCTTTTTGAAGGACCCGGGGATTTTGGTTCGTCCCAACTTCAGGAGGCGAGTCCTAGCCTTGGCGATTCGCTTCGTCTTGGTGGCATAGGGTCTCTTTCTGGTATAGGAAACATCCGCTCCTAGGTCCTTGGCAGTGTGCCTGACTGGGACGCGTGCAGAGTGAATCACAAGTCCGCGGAGTTTCTTGCAAATGTTTGGCTTGTTGCTCCAGGTCCAACTCTTGTCAGGCGCAATTCGAAGCTTAAGGTCATCCAAGAAGGCAACCAATTTTCTGACAGCATTTTCCAACCTGGTGAGGCTGGTTGAAATGAGGGCCCAGTTATCAGCATAGAAAAACGAGTCAAGGCCGGGCATCGGGGCCACTACCTGCAGGTGGGCCCACGCGCACAGCACTGTCATGCAGGCAACCGCCATGGCACAGCCCTCGACAATGCCAGTTGTCGTCTGAAAGATGTCTCCGAAAGAACCTGCGACTTCAAAAGTTCGGCGCATATCCTTCAATGCGCCGGCAAGTGCCTGTACAATTGGCCCAGGAACGCCACACTTATGCAGAGCCCGCATGAGAGGTCTGCGGGGTATGCAGTTGTAACACTTGACAATGTCAAAAATGGCTCCGCAAACTGGGCTGTTCTCCATGTTAGCCTCTTCAACCCTTTCTGCCGTATACATGGCCATGAGGTCTGCGCTGATGGCCTTTGCAATCCCTGCCACTTCCGGTGGGAGGTGGCTGCCAAGGTGCGCCATAACCTGCTGCGACCTGATTTTAGACCAAAGTCGGTAAGTTTTGCCTAGGACAGTGACCGGACGGATATCCAGTGGACTCTTGGGTTGAAACCCCTTGGGGAGACAATGGGTCTTGGCAAGCATCCACCTTCTTGGCCAAGCACTCCCTTATTCACACACATGGAAAATATCGGCTAGCCACTCATGGAGTTCACAAGGAAGCTTCCTGAGGTCCATTGTGGAAAAACCGTCACCTCCTCTGGCACTTCTGATTTTGGTGCCTTGCAGGGCATCCTTGATCTGGGCACTGGTTATGGGGGTATAAGGCATGGGAGGGATCCCCGAGCGGCCATGGGAACAAAAGGGCGTCCATTTTTTGGTTGGTTGACTTGAAAGGGGAACCCTTCCCAAAAAGGAGTTGAAAAAAGGGCACCACTGGGCAACTGGGAAATGCCGTTCACGATTTCGGCTGGCAGCAACGCAACGTAAATCCTGCGGAATAAACGGTCAGCCATGCTTGGGGGCTCTCTCGCGCGCAGCCCCCGTAGAGCTAGCACAAAGCTATTTCCATCGTGCGATCTAGAACCACCCGGACCCCCCTTGTTGACCGATTCCCAATCTTCCTGCCTGGTAAGGCTGAAAAAAGGAATCGGCCCATTGGGGCCCAGGCAACTTTGTTGACTGGCATGACTGGCAAAACCGGAGCCAAGATTTAGAAAATGCACAAGTCTAGACCCCCAAATGAACAAACCCTGATATGGTTGTCTCATCTTTGGAATCGGACCCCCCAAATGGTGGTCCCTTTTAAAACCACCCAACAAGAGACGCACCCCTATGAACATTTGCATCACCAGACCTTCCGGGGGTCCACATGCCACTCCGTGGGCCCCCGTGCTCAGCCAACAAGGAGGCCGCGATCAGGAACTCCCCGGCGTGCAAGCGGAAGAGCTGGTGCCTACGCGGGAAGAGCAGGGCCCGGACGGTTGGAGGAAATACTGTGGATGGGTTGAAATCGAAATCCGACACCGCACCACGGTTAAGGAAATCATGGCAGAAAACATAACGTTTGTTGGTAGTTGCAGGGGAATCGACTCCTTCCTTTGGGGTTCTTGGGTGCGTTGCATGGATTCCGTCCATCGGTATGAGCCAAAGGAAGCGGAGAGTTGGCTGACTGAACACTTTCTGAGCAACAGTCCCAAACAGATCGACCGCACCGACACTCCAAAAACACCACCTACGACTCACCTGCGAATGAACTGGATTCAACGAGTCAAAACGAGCGGCTCAGTGGGAAATGTCCACTATGATACAACAAAAAGGGTTGTCCAAAGACTATCCCCCTACGAAAAAGATTTCCCAAAGTAGCACAGAAGTGACGAAGTGGCTGGATACACCCCGTGATCCCACCCTGGGTGGCTCTGACTTTCTGTTTGCCGGAAAATCAAAGCCCATAGCTCTCGCAAAAAATATCCAAGCCATCAGCTGAAAGCTCGGCTCTGGGGGCTTTCAGGGAGGGTGTAGGGTTCCAGAGAACGGGGAGGGGGCTAGGGATACTGTGGATGGTTGCGCTGGATCCATTTTGCACCACGAAATGAGCATATGCTTGAAAACATAACGTTTGTTGGTATTTAGAGGGGGATCATCGTTCCAGGGCTTTTCAGGTGGTGCGACATGGATCTCGTCTATCCACAGTATCACTGTTGTTTGTCTAAAGTGAGATGTATCAACGACCAAGCAACCTGACCACAGGCGGATCACAGGCGGATCACCCTCTCGCCCTTTCTCCAGTTTGGGCATACAGTGGATGGACGAAATCCATTTCGCACCACCGTTCAGAAACCCAAAGGAATGATATGATTCCTTTGTAACTACCAACAAACGTTATGGTTTCAACCATGGTCTCAGTGGTGCGGTGTCGGATTTCGCAACCATCCACAGTATGCAGAGCAAAGAGCAAGGCGCTGAGAGGATACTTTGCTCTCCAATCTGCTTCCCTTTTGCTGCACCAGAATCTTGAATCCAGGGGTGGTTGTACATAATACCCCTTGGGCAAATTAGCCACGCAAAGGGCCTGTTGATGTTCATATCCCTCTCCCCACAAGGGGTACCCCTCTCCCATATAAAGTGGGTTGGAACCCAGGAAGGCCAAGCGTCCATTTGCTTAAGACCCTGGAAAGAATAAACAATATTCCCAGTAGTGATAAGTTCCTTTTAAAACCAACAAGGGAAAAATACTCATTTCAGCAAATGGAAGCCAAGGGCTATGAACAAGGGGTTCGTACTTCCACCCTTAGATCCGATGACCGTCCCCGCCTCATGTCGAGTCGCAAGTCGCGCAGCCAAGTGGCATCCCCCCGAATGGCATCCTGCGAGCCGTTGCCGTGGACCCAAAGAACTGGGGGGTTTGGTTGGCCTCCACACATACTGTACGCAGAGGGTCCCTTGGTACCTTCTAAGGAGGTACTTAGTCCCCTTTTTACCCCCCAAAAGCCGTCCTCGTGAAGTACTTGGACCCGCTGGGGTAAAACTGGGCTGTCCGTGTTCAGATCCAAACTGCCAAAAGTGAGCTTAACTGGGCTAAATATCTAGGTCCTCCAGTAGAGAGGATAGAACAAGGGTACCAACTTTTCTCAGTGGTCTGTTTTAGTAGGGGAACCCTCAAAAAGGGGTGAGAAAGGGCACCTAGCTGGGCCGACCTAGATTCTGTAGGACTGGGCTGTCCGTGTTAACTGCTAAAAGTGAGCTTAACTTCTGGGTTGAATATGGAAACCCAACCACTGAACCAACTAAAAACCAGAACATTCCTTGAGGGGACGGCCGGGACCCGCCAAGGAAATGTAGAGGTGATCGGGCTTTCCATGGCCCGAGCCCCATACATCGGCAAGGCCCTACCTCCCTGGAAGTAGGCCAGCCGCTTCCATGCACTTCGGAGTAGGGATGTGCCAAAGAAAGTGACCACCCATTTTTTCAACACACCGCCCGAATCAATCACACGGACACCTGACCGACCTCACTTCTTGAGTTGATTGGCCAGAAAAAGCAACCGAACTTGCTGTTTACCACTAAAATGGTCCACCTGGAGTCTCCATGACCCTTTAAAAATAGGTCCATGACCCCACTATTTAGGGTAATTACCAATTTTTAAGGATCATGACCCCAAAAGTGACTAAAGTCCGTGCACCCAGTGGGTGAGTGACTGACTGCCTGGTCAAGTGCTTTTTTCTCGGGACTGGAGGGCATTCATGCAGGGCGAGGCTTGCCCGCCAGAATGGGTCAAAACCCAGATGCTCGTTTTGTTGGAACAAAAATGGGGTTCATGTAACCATGAATATTTACCTAGGAAGTTTCATCCAAATTGGGTCAACCATTCTTTGAATGCGGATCGAACCCTACTTAGATGGTCTGGGACTTAGCTAAATGGCTAGTAACCCTGCTTACGGGGGACTTACGACCATTGTAAGTGGGTTGCAACCAGGGCAATGCTAGCCATTTAGCTAACTCCCAAACCATCTAAGTACCTAGAGTCTCCATCTTTAGGGTAATGACCAACCATTTTTCAAGGGTCATGGCTCGAGACTCTCTTTGGTCTAAATATGGATCAACCGAGACCCCTTTCGGGGCACCGTGTTGACCCAAAAAAATCCGCGAGCGACTCGCAAGCCCAAGGCATCCGAGACGATGAAAGCGAACAAAGATATCCACAATCGGAACCCGAATACCAACAAAAATAAAGCCCCAAGACCCTGTTTGAATTCATTGCAATCTTTATAATGATAATTTTATTTAACAGCTTAATTGATTCATGTCGTGCTGCTTCAAGCTCACTTCATATCGGTTCATGTTATATCATTCCATTCATCCATTCAGAAGTTCATGTCATTCCAACTCATTCCACGCATTTGTTCCAGTCCACTTCTTCTCAGTCCATTCCATTCCTTCTAGGGGTACCTTCCTCATTCTTTCAAAGGATCCTTCCGTGTAGAAAACCTCCGGAAACCCAGATATGTTTATTAGAAAGAACGATGGTTGAAAATAATGGTTGGAATCACCCCAAATCCTTTCTTCACTTTAATACAACCCCCGGGTTGTTTTTTGTTGCTTTAAAAACATGTTGCGAGGGGGGCGAGTCTTTTTTACTTGGGGGAGAGGATTAGATCGTTCCTAAACCCTAAAATCGAAACCACAAACGACCAGATCTCGACGCCTGGGTTTTGCGAGGCCGGTCTGCCAGGGAGCTCAGTAAGAAGAGCTCCCCGTTCTCGTCCTGATCGCAGATTCGCAGATCCACGTGCGGTGGAAAACCCGCAAAAAACGGGATGCGTGGACCAGTACAACGGGGACTAGGATGTTGTTGCCAAAACTTAGGACCCTCAAACTACTCATAAGCAAAAGAATTCAACTTTTAATATCGAACCATATTGTTTGAGAGTATTTTCAGGGCTAAAAGGGTGGTTTCCTGCTGGATGTCGAAGCTTCAAACCCACCTTTTTGGAGAGACTCCCAGGGATTCAAGCCCAAATGGCTCCTAGAATTCGAGCAATGTTGACCCAGGAGCGAATCCGCGAACCAAAAAAAAAGGATCGATCCCCTCCGAAACAGGCCTTTCCGCCTTTTGTCCAAGGAGAGGATCAACCCAAGTTGAATAGCCCACTGGCTGAGTGGATGGCCCAAAAAAAGTAACCGAACTTTTTCTGTACCACTAAAATGGTCCTCTCAAAAAGTTTAAAGTTCATGAACTCAGGAAGTGAGTTGAATAGTGATTCAAATCTGGTGCATGGCACTTGACGGCGCTGTTGGCTCATAATAGACCACGAATGTTACCTTTCAGGCTGCTATCGCTCCCCCTGAAAGTCAGAAACTGTTGGCCACAAGATGGAAAGTGCTGAACTCACTGCCTGAGCGGACTGGCGTAAAAGTATAATCTTCCTGTTTGCCACTGAAATGGTCCAGACCCAAGAAGTATAAAGTCCATGAACTAAGGAAGTGAGTTCCTATTATAAACCCTGGGGTTACGCCCAAATGTTAATCCCCTATACATCCACATAGCCAGGTTTCATCCAAAAGCAGAAGGCGTCCATAAAGTACTTCTCGTGTTTTCTGGGAGGCTTGGTCACTCCGCATATTGCCGAATGGCGTTCAGACTTGGGTGACTTTCTGAGGGAAAGAGACCTGGTGTGTTGCAACTGAAATGCCTGGTGTCACCTCAGTTCTACCCCAAGTGATAGACAACAACGGGAAAGGGGGGGGACGTGGGCAGAATGTTGGTGTCCACCATCCCTGCAGATCCCCCACCACGATGATGAGGATGCTAGCCGACCTGGTGACCTGCTAGGGACGGGTTCCAACTGGGCGCACAGGTCAAACTATTCAACCGAGTCACCGAAAGCAGCGCTTATGCGCATATGATGGGCTAGGTCCTCCAGTAGAGATGTTAGAATAAGGGTGCCCTTTCTTTTTTCTGCAGTCTATTTTAGCAGGGGAACCCTCCCAACCAAAAAACAGGTGAGAAAGGACATTGCTGGTTGGGACCTAGTATATGATGGGTGCGTCCCTTTTGACCTGGAGCTGTCGGTTGCGCTGTACAGCAACCTGCCAGGAAAGGCATAGATCGCCCTGTACAGAGTCTGTACAGTGCGAGCGCAAGTCACGGCACTTTTCGAGCGGCGACTGCTGCTCGCAGGGGAAGGATTCGGGCCACGAATGGGCGGAACAAAAGCCTTGCAGAAATCGACGGGTCCACAAAATCTTTGATGGTTCTCCTGTGTTCCTCATGTTTTGCTTAAACCACTCTGAAAAGTGAAAAGGGTACTACTCACAACATCACAACATGTCTCAACAGCGTAGGCCCGCTCTATGCGACACAAATTCCCAGTGCACCTCACGCGTCAATTCGACTCTAACCTGAAAGAGTCGTTTGGCTTCGGCGGGGCGGGCTCCGGTATTTTGGCTTCCCAGTCTTCAATGGGTCCATTCCACACAGGTGCAAAGGCAGGATGACACAGGGGATGAGTAGGAACCGCACACCAGGTAATTAGCATAGTCACGTACTGCAAATGTTTTACTGCAAGTGTGGCAAGGAAGCACCGCAAGAGCCAGTTGCACCATCGCTGGATTTTCATGTGGCCCAGTAAGAGAAGCCAGGCAAGACGCTTCATGATTTAGCCCCCTACAGCACCCAGTACCCTAGGAAAGAAAACCACGCATCAACAATTTACTCACCCGAGTGGATTGGACCAAAAAGGTCCAAACTTTACATTTGCCACTAAAATGGGTCCAAACCCAAAACGTTTGAAGTCCAGCAACTCAGGAAGTCCTAGAACTCTAGGGGTTGATTCCTTGTCCATTCTTTTCAACCATCGGTCTTTTTCAAAAACCGGATCCGTTTTCCCTGAGTTTGGGTGGTTTTCTCCTGGGTTAAGAATGGAAATGGAAGCTACCCCCAGGGATCCTTCTGTTGAGCAAGCCCTCAGAACTGCAGGGGAAACAGCTGGTTGTTGAAAATCATAGTGGATGTAAAGGATGGGGAATCAACCAACCTAGAGAAGTGGGAAACTGAGGAAAAGACCGAAAACAGTAACTCAGCGGTGTTCCTGCAAGGCACAGAACTCGAGCTCCACCTGGACCTCCAGCATTTCCTTCAGGTCCCACTGCTCCTTGGGGCCCTGCAGTGGGCAGCAGGAGCTCCTGGGTGCGGATTCCGGCGCCATGTGTGCCATGTCAAAACCAGGCTTCCCTTAACACTAGATCCTCCAGATTTGAGAGGTTAGAATAAGGGTACTTGTTTTTGTCTTCTTTTTTTCTGTAGTCTATTTTAGTAGGGAAACCCTCCCCAAAAAAAGGGGGAGAAAGGCAGGACACAAATTCAGAGGGTCCCTTGGTACCTTCTAAGGAGGTACTGATCGACCGCACGAGGTACCAAGGGACCCTCTGGGTAGAATTCATGGTTCTTGAGGATCCGAGCCGCCAGGAGCATCATGCCTGTCCCCAAATCGGGCATGATCCCTTTTTGGCGGCACATTTGCTTGGCGTTTTTTGCTCTCCTGGCAGCTCAGGGCGCCAAAGGACCTATTGGCAGGCAGGTCCTTTGCCTATGGGCACATTGGAATTTCACATTCGCGACGGGCTGTGCTAATCGCAGCTTCGCAGCTTCGCTCGTCGGCGCATTGGTGTTTGATCCCAAAGGACAAGTGTGCAGTCGGTTGGGGTGGTTGGAAATGTTGCCACTTTTGAAGGTTCAAGAAGCAGAAAATGGAGGAATGGATCTGAGTGGGTTGGCCAAAACGAGTTCAAACTTTTCGGCTGCCACTAAACTGGGCTGCCCTCAGATGCCCCCGCTGAAAGTTGAACTCTTAGTGGCTCAAATGGAAAACCAAGCACTCAACGCTAAAAGGCGTTTTAAAGCCTTTTGGAAAGCTCTGGCTGGGAGCCGCCAAGATGGTCACAACCAAAAAAGTGGCTCAAGTCCGAGTTCCGCTCAGGGAGTGAGAATTGACTTTCAGGGGCCCCACGGGCCACTGGAGTTCCCCAAATCAAAAGTTGCAATCAACAGGTGGTGTCGTTTAAAGCCTTTTGGAAGGCTCAGGGGATGGCCAGCAAGGAAGCCAGGCGGCTCATTGAAGTGGTGAAGAAAGGGCCCGCGGCACTCCCGGCACTCCGTCTCGGCGCCAGTCACACTGATGCGCGCCCGCAGACCTCGGCGAGAGGCCGAGGGGACTTGGCGCAACTCGTGGCCCCTCCCACATCCATTCTACGCACGGCTCCGGTTACTCGGCCTTTTCTGAGCGTATGATGTCGATCCTCTACTAAAAAAGGAGATATTTACCTAAAAAGCAAGGTTTTCCCAAAAATACCCTAGAAAAAGTGGGTATTTGGAGTAGGGGATAGGGACATCCTCGGTTGACGTTGGAAGGGGTGCAAAAACAAAAGTTCTAGCAGTTAAGTGGGGATTTCCCACTAGACCCCAACAAGCAAAAATGTAAAATGTTTCCCAACAACAACCACATCCATTCTGGGGGCACCTTCCATTTCCATTCTTTCCAGGGATCCGAATCTTTCTAGAAAACCTCCGGAAACCCAGGGAAAACGGATCCGGTTTTTGGAAAGAACGCTGGTTGAAAAAAATGGTCAAGGAATCAACCCCTAGATCCATCCCACATTTTGTCACACTCTCCCAGCCTCTTTACATGGAACCGTCCGACGTTCGGGACATGTTCCCTTTGAACATGGTTTTCAAAGCAGGACCCCCCCCCGGTCAGGTTCCATGTTCATTGGTGGAAGGGTAACGGAAACGCGGCTCCGATCCAGTGGCTGGGCCAAAAAAGGAACTAAGCTTAAGCTTTTCACTTACCACTTCGAAATACAAAAAAGCGACGAAAGTCCAGGAAGCTCAAGTGAAGAAACCTGTGGTGTATCAATAGAAAAAAAGTCCCCTCTTCAGTGGAACCTCTTCACTGTTGGAGGGTACCCCTCCCGATTCTTAATCCGGGATCAAGAGAATGCCCAAAATCGGAGGGGACCCAAATTTCGGCGATTTTTCCTTTGGTTTCCATTCACCAAGGCCCACCCGACAAACAAACACCCTTCTGAGATCAGCGACTTTCAGACTTTCAAGCTCCGGGCCCATCTGAAAGCTTGCTGGAAAGGCGATGCATTGAACGCTGTTGGGCTATCTTGATAAGGAACTCCTTGGACATGCTGGGAATTCGGAATTCATGTCCGCCATCTTGGAGGGTGGTTCTTTGAAAGTCATTTCCTTTTGTGATCTGGGTCAAATGCGGACTGCGTTTGCAGCTGTCCTGACAACTGACTGCAAGAACCTTGCTTTGCAGCCGTTCAATTCAAACACGGCCGGCGGTGGCGACCCAAAAACCCAATCCCAAACAATTCAAGGCAGCTAGGCAGTGTTGTGAGCCACCAAAGATCAAGGTGGCTGTCCTCAAATCGGCGACCTCCTGCTGGATGGGTTTCTAGGGAAACCAAACGAAAACCCACTGCACTCCCAAAATCAGAGGGACACGGAAAATAACATATTTCAGAGTCCCTCACCAAACTGTGTGTCCATATTTCAGAGTCCCTCACATATTTAGTTCGGTGAGGGACACATATTTCAGAGTCTGCTTCATATATTTAGCTCAGCAAACTGCGCTTGCACCGCCCGTGCTTGCCGCCCTGCTGCGGGGGACAGCCTCGGAGGACAGGCACTTCAGGAAGATGCCTTGGCAGAAACCAAAGCAGAGGCGGGCCGCGGGTGTTCGTATAGGGGCC